CTTACGATTTGGTACGGCGAACGGGTCGCTACATACGGAATCAGGATCATAATGTTGCACTGCGGTCATAATATCTACGGCTTGCGGTACGTTTAGACACTCCGTGATCAACGTTCGTCTTGCTGCGTGCAATAGAGACGAATATTGCGAAAGTATAGTAACAAGTCTTTCCATTATTCATATAGTGCGCTTCCCCAATATGGAAAATATCCGAATATTGAATTTGAAAAACGTATATATCGCCATTTCTCTATTGTTTGAATAACTTAAAAAGGAACTGTTTTATATTTTGAAATAAAAGAATTTTTTATAAACATTGAGACACATTAATTTATATAGTGCTCTATCAAATATTTAAAGAAATATTTGAATCTTATTCGGAGATTTTCATGGCCCTTTATCAGATTATTATTTATTTTTTTTAAGAGAAATTTGATTAATCAATATTATATTAAAAGTCGAAATCAGATCTTCAACATACAGATACTCAACGTCGTTTTCTTTTTATATTCGTCAAATGCAATGCGAGCGTCAATCAGGAACAGCATTGTCTTCTTCGGTTCCCAAAGGGCCGATCTCTCGATCCAGTCCTTATCCCACAGCATCAACGACACCGTATTGTCCGTCGATCCGTCCGCGATCTCGAAACTGCGACACGTTAGAGCTCGTCCGTCCCGTGTCATTATATGACGCGCGTCAGCGATCTGCAGTACGTTTAATCGATATAATTATAGATTATTATAATCACGAACGTAACAAGGTGACAGTTTTAATTGTTGGAGCAGCTGAAGATTTTTGTGTTGAGCTCACTTGAGAGAATTCGGAACTTTAGAAATATAGTTGCAGATTTGTGATAATTTCTAATTTACGATTAAATAAATTGTCTATTTTTCCATTAGCCCACGAGAAACGCGATGTCTGATTGGACTCGACACTTTACTTGTTGCAACTTACAAACGTAACGACCACCAGAAGGTCGACAAAACGATCGCACAGTGCCTCTATGTTGTCCAAAATCGTTTTCAGGCTTTTCGCGGAGGTCACGCTTTTTACGGGCCGCGTTAGTAGATCCTCGTATCCTTTGCGAGTCGGCGCGTCGTGATTCTGTACAAGGGCCGTACCCTCGTTCACAATTAGGGTGAAAGGGCTGGAAGTCGACGGCGAGAATTGCTCGTTCCTATCGTTGGGATTGCGTTTTACGATTTTCGCACTTATCACCTCCACTGTGAAACAGACACTCGAATCCTTTATCAAGACTTCACTATAAATCTTGAAACATAAATTAATTATCTTTTTTCTATTCACGAAAATTGATATTATATTTATATTTAACTGTTTATATTTATACATGATGGTGAAATAATTTGAATTAAATAGAAATTATATAGAGAATATATATTAAATATCTAAAACAAAGGGAAATTGCATACATATCTTGATATAATTTTTTAAATAACAATTACTAAATAATTAAATTAATATCGATTCCCTAACAGTGGCCCGATCAATGACGCTTAATTTAATTAGAAAATATTAATTTCAAAATGATATACTGCAAATGTGCACGATGATGACGTTGCGGCTCTTTGTAATTTATGGGAGATTTATTTTTAAAATATTTACCTACGGACCCGATGTTAAACGTGGTCGATAATTTCTTCACGAATTCCGTGCCACCCCACACGGTGACGTTAATAAAATCCTCCTCGGAGTCGCGCAAAGTAAATGTCCACACGCTACGTTCGCCATTGCTAACTGCAACAATCGACAAAATAATTAAAACGGAGGAACAAAAGTTTCTTCTCTCTCTTTCTCATTTAGTATGAAATAAGTTAAAAAATCAAAAATTTAATATAAAAGCAATTTATCCGAGTTATTCGTTAATTTCTCGAATTTTAACGACGCGACGGACGTTTAATGGAAAATCGAACGCGCGTTCGTGAACGACGAAATGACGCAACGCGTAATTCAGCAAGCTTTTCCGTAAAAAAAGGACATTTTCCGCGAATCAGAGTCCATACGTTTCCAAATCTCTTTATCCGTATCTTCGTTCTAAATGCGAGAATGTGCAATAGGAAAGAAGAGAAAAAGAATACGACGGAGATGCGTACACCTGGCTTGAGTGGCGTCGAACGTTCTCACGTTCGTGCTGTTTATAATCACGCCGATTACGAAAGTGTTCGGCATGCCGTCCTGCAGCGATTTTATCTCCTGCCTGTATAGAAACGACATGTCCGACCGATCGATCAACGCGTCGCGTATACCGTCGTCAGTTTGTCAAGTAGATCCGAATAGAAGAAGGAACTGAAGGAAGGAAGGCCGGAGTAATTTGCGCGCGAGCACGCTCTGCTTGAAGCTTGAAGCGCAAGTCAATTGCCAACTGTACTCCGTACAGTGCGTACTACATACAGCTCGCGATCGCACTTTGCAGTCGGACCTCGCCGCACCGAATTCCGCTAACTTCGGAGTGCACGTCTACGTCCAATGGAAACGTTCATTTTTTGAAAGAAATACAAATGAATACAAATCTTACTTTTATATTTATCTTTTTCATGTAAGACATATTCTTAGAACCGAATCTGGGCCATATAACAGAGATTTATTAATTGTGTTTTCAATAACATACGTCTGTTGTAACAAAAGTTGTTTTATGTGATAATATTATTTTATATTTTTTATATCAATTCGATTTCTTCAATTTGCGGTTGCCGGTTTTCAAATGTCGCGCGATACCTTGTGTACCCTGCTTTAAGGTGAAATTTCATGGGCAGTGAAAAGCAGCAGCAGGTCGTACTGATTGGCTATAAAATAGAGGAGTTTTAGAAACTCGAGAACTTCTCTATTTTGCAGCCAATCAGTACGATCTGCTGCTGCTTTTCACTGCTCATGAAATTTTACCTTTAAAGTCTTGATCGGGGGGGGGGGGGGGGGTATGGGGAGGGTTGGCAACCCTGACGGCAATGACAGACACCCTCGCCGTTGGCCGTCTCCGCGATTCTTGGGACAGTCTTGGAGCCTAGGCCTAGTGACGTCGCGAGGTCGCGGGGGTACGGGTACGCGTCGGCGAGATCAGGTGAAAATCTATTGACTTGCAGTTTGCAGTCGATGAATCGGGCCTGAGAGGGCTTCGTATACGGGCGGAAAGGAAAGAAAACAATCGGACCGACGTCCGCCGAGATGGCCGACAGCGAGCAGAAGGCGTTGCACCTGGTGGCGGAGGCCGAGAGGAAGCTGTCGTCGTCGAAGGGCTTCTTCGGCACCCTGTTCGGGTGAGACGATCGATTTGCCACTTGAACTCGCCCGATCCGCGAGCGCGTGTACCTTCGCTATTCTCCCTCCCCCCCTTCCACCCCTGCGCTACCATCCCGCGTCGTTCGATCGCGGATCGCGGGTCGCGAACCGCACGACGTCCTCACCGTCCTCGGTGGCGCGTTATTGCGACTCCGTTTTTACGTCGTTCCGACGTCGCGCGACACCCCCCCCGTGCGTGCGTACGCCACGGACATGTGTCAATACGTGACATCTGTGAACGGTACTTATTGCTGTCCGTAAGATCTGTAAAACCGCCCGTCCGTTCGTGCTGCTTCTCTGGAAATCGCGATCCTCTCATACCCTTCATCGAAGAGTCTCGTTTCGACCGATATTGGGTGCTTTCCATTTACTGACACACAAGTCGACACAAGTCTCGTTCTGTCTTTGTCACTCATTAAATGCCAAGAGAGATAGCTGACGTTTGTGTCGACTTTGATACTAAATGGAAAAAAACACCCATTGGGTCTGTTTTCTAGTGCTGAATTGGCTATACTAGTTCAGAGTTTATCATTTTTACTCCACATTGGAAGGAAAAAGATAAACTCTGAACTAGTGCAGCTAGTTGAGCAATAGAAAACAGACCCATTGTGTCGTCGAAAGATACCAAAGTCCACTGCGTTGGTGTCGTTGTACCTTGCATCGTAACACGAGGCAATGTTCAATTTTGCAGGAGCTCGTCGAAGGTCGAGGAAGCGGTGGAATGTTACCAACGGGCGGCGAACATGTTCAAGATGGCAAAGAAGTGGAGTTCGGCGGGGAAGGCGTTTTATGACGCGGGGGAGTTACACGCGAAGGCGGGTAGTCGTCACGACGCGGCTAGTAATTACGTAGACGCTGCCAATTGCTTCAAGAAGTCCGATACAAACGGTAACTTATGGGAATAAGTTTGTTTGAATCGTGGAGAATCTGGTGATTAAGATATCCGAAATTAATGTAACGTATCCTTGCTTCTTCGTCCTTACAGAGGCGATCAGCTGCCTGTTGAAAGCCATCGAGATTTATACCGACATGGGTCGTTTTACGATGGCAGCCAAGCATCATCAAAGTATAGCCGAGATCTATGAAAGCGAGGCGGTCGACTTGGAGCGCGCGGTGCACCACTACGAGCAGGCCGCGGACTATTTCCGCGGCGAGGAAAGTAACTCCTCCGCGAACAAGTGTCTCTTGAAAGTCGCGCAGTACGCCGCGCAACTTGAGAATTACGATAAAGCCATTCGGATCTATGAGCAGGTAAAAATCGAAGGCATCTCTCTCGCATACGTGCGCGACAGCGCGTTATAAACATTAATAATTCCATTTATTAATCCGAATGCGAATGTTTGAATCTTGTCATTTCATATTGCAGGTCGCTTCCGCGGCATTAGAAAGTTCTTTACTAAAATACAGCGCCAAGGATTACTTCTTCCGCGCTGCGTTGTGCCACTTGTGCGTGGACTCGTTAAACGCCCAGCACGCGATCGAGCGTTATCAGGAGCAGTATCCCGCTTTTCAAGATTCTAGAGAATACAAACTGGTTAAGGTACGTGCCCACGTTAAGTTAACTTTGTCTCTTTTTTTTACATATATATATACTATTTGATAACTTGTTGAATTGTACATCTGTAGACGTTGATAGAGCATTTGGAGGAACAGAATCTAGAAGGTTACACAGAAGCGGTGAAGGAATACGATTCAATTTCAAGATTGGATCAGTGGTACACGACAGTATTGTTACGTATAAAAAAGCAAATTAATGATAATCCGGATCTACGCTGATCAGTTGCGCTCTACTTGCGTTATTTTCTGGCAACGATATTCCCAGACCATGCGTATTCGTTATTGAGTCACACTCTATTTTCAGTGGAAACTATAAAGTAGTTCCATTTTTATATTTAGATGTAATTGGCCCGTATTATCATTGCTTCCTCGTGCAATTTTTCTTATTTACCTTATTTACTACATCTTTTTAAATCGTTAGCGTATCCATGAAGTCACATGGAGAATCACGGTATGCAAGAATGTGAGAGACGATTATTTCGAACGTCGTAATCCTCATGATTATTTTTTATTAATTAAATACACAGCCTTACTGTCAGATATTGGCGAGTATTACACCGAGAATGTCGTTGTTTTTTTGTTGTTGTAAAGTAATAGAGCCTACGGTCTTTATTTCTCTTACTTTGTGTACTTTGTAAATCTCTTCCTTTCAAAAATCGATATTCTTACTACAAATTAACCAAGATTATTATAGACTTTAGGCTTTAAAAGCCTAAATAATACTGACTACAAACAATACTGAATCGACAAATTTTTTGTTCTTTCCTACCTCAGGATAATTTAACAACAAACGCTTAATTATGTTCTCTCGTTTAATAAAGCAAGGAGCAAGTATTGTACATTATTTCGATGTATATAATTTATATTTATTTAAACAATAACTTTCCTTTGTTTCTTTATAATACGACTGTTAATACGATTTCACTTCAATTCTTTTTTTTTCCGATATTTTACGGCGAAGGAATTATGACGATCAAGTATGACCGTCATCATTTGTCACTCTTGCACTGCCAAATTTATTAAGGTAACGAATGTAGTGTACGTCTAATTGGTACAGTTCATAATTATCTCTTTTTTTCTTCTTCCTTCTCCACTTTTCTCCCCTTGGTCCTTTCTGTTTCTTGCGTTCGTTTGATTTGAAAATACGGCTGCTACTTGTTTGTATAGGTTTACAGCTTTAAGCCGAGCGGATTACTATTAGCGTAACACGATACTTATTCCTTCCTAATATCGAGCTAAAGATTACACGTCGATATACCCGTTACACAATGTTTTCTGCAATAATGTAGTGCTATATCTAATCTAATTAGTACTTATCGCCTACGGATAAGCGTACTCCTACAAAAAAAAAAGAAAAAAAGAGACAAGCGGATAGGGAACACGATCGCGAAGTGCATTTACAATTGAAATACCATAACGATTGCGTTTGCGAAATTTGAGTATGCAGACTTCTCTTACGTTCTTTTCACGTTATTTGTTGCTACCGCGCATTCGTTCTTATGACTCGTATCAATTTATAATTGGTGCAATCGATAATTTTAACGTTATCGCAAACGTTATCACCTTATTATATTTCACCTTCGATACTTATAAGAAATGTAGAACATTAATTTTAATGTTGCAAAAAGTCTGGAATATATTATTGTCATAACTGCGAGGGGACACACCATACCCAAGCGTAGATCTATAATTTAGCGAACGCTCGAAATTGATTTAACAACGGTCGCATTAAAAATCTTCGCATTTTATATAAGAGCATCGTAATATAAATAATATACATATATATATATTGATACGATATTTCAGTAACATAATACAATTCCGCTGTTAACTAGGAATAGAAAGGATTATCTGCATGCACGCGATTAAACGAAACATGCACCTAGCGTAAGCATATGTATACTTATATGAAAAAAAAAGAGAAAAAATAAGGACACACGTATAATAAAAATTTCAAATTCTACACCCGCAGTGCACATTGTTTTCCGGAAGAAACGAGATGGAAGTCAGACGGATATATTCGGATAATCTTGTCTGATATGAGAACCTGCGTGATAAAAGGCGACGTTTTTCGCAATGTCACTCGCGCTATCAGCGCAATAAATCTACCTTGTCTATAAATAACGAAGAACGATGAGTATGCATCGATATCTCATTTTATTCCCCGTACAGTTAATAATGTCGTATCTTCCATACGTATCTTTAGGAAGGCACCGTGCAACGTTTTATAGTCTGTTGGAATGACACAAGTAGATGTAAAACCGGAGAACTAAAATACCATGATTTATTTTGCGCAAACGTGCGATGATATATTTAGTTTACAGTGATTGTTACGTGCGTTAACAGATCGAGGAACTTATTATTAGATAGGAATATATTCTATATAATTTATATTGAAATTTATATTGGACAGGATTACGTCGTGTATATATATACATATATGTTTTATATATTTCACCGTATGTTATGAAATGTTTATCTCTCTTGTTACTTGTATTTTATATACGTCTGTATGTTGGACTATATTGTTAATTTTTGTTTTTTTGCCAATTCCTGTGAGGCGATATAGCGCGCGCAAACGGAGTATAATTTGTAATTACAGATGTAATTGCGACGAGATAAAATCCTGCGTTTCTCTTCTTTTTTTATACGAAACGATTAATTTATTTGCTTGTATATATCTTCTCGTTTATATTTGTATTTGTTATATATACGAATGATAAGTTGAATTTTACTTGTAACACTCGAATGTATAACCAGTTGATAGTATTTAGTACATTCTACTAAGAAATGAAGTATACATAGCGATTAAATTTTGCCCAACGTAACAATACATTTAAAAATCTACATAGAACTTTGTTAGAAAATAATACGCCTAATAATTACCATCACATATGTAGAAGGAGAAGAGGTATGCTATTGCAAAGGAAACATCACATTTATACGATATTCTGAGGATATTAAAACAGTCGATTTTAATTTCAGTATATGCTGAAACGATTACATGTATCATTTTAGGCATATAATAGCGATAATTTTCAAATAAATAAATGTAATCCAATTTATTTTGTGCGAATTTTCGTTATTAGAAGAATCTATATTAAGAATTTTTTTTTTTTTTTTTTTATAAGAATCTTTTAGCAAAGTGATAGCGAGGAAATATTTTACTAGATTATCTTATCGATAATCATTATTTGCAAATGTACAAAGTCCATACATAACAAAAAAGCGCTGTATATTCTATGGCACATCCGCGGAATGAAATTATGCGCGGGAAAATTATAATATTCATCCATTTTCGATGAGTTTTGGGACGCAGTTCCGGAAGCTGAAATAAACTTTTTCAGTTTTGGAATGCAATCACAGCGGAAAACTTGAAACACTTATTTTTGATGAGTTTTTGAACGCGGTTCTGACCCACACATTAATTATTATTAAATTAGCAGTCTTTTTTTCAATTTTGTTCATTTTTTCGAAAATTTCCACATGTCGCAATTGCGTTTCTGTGCGTATTTCGGGCGTGAATGAAAAAAATTGCAATTATGATTACAAATACATAGTTCGCGGCTGCTCCGCGAGGGGTCACCGTAGTTCCCCTGCCGAACCTTGTAAATTTAAATGCGAGGGAAACGCGTGTCCGGTGTCGCGTGTCGCGTCAGTTACCGGTTACCGGCTGTTTTGCGTGTTATTGGTTGGTGTTTTTCAACGCTTATTGCATCTCAAGGCTGTACATCAACGTATGTATGTTTAAATTTAATGTAAGTGAATAATAATGTTGTTAAAAACCCTCTTGTTAGATAACTCTGGACGATAGTAAATGCTGACAAATGCTTGGATTTGTTTTCTATTGCTGAACTGGCTGCACTAGTTCAGAGTTTATCGTTTTTCCTTCCAATGTGGAGTAAGGCCCGGTTTCACCAACGTGATTAAACTCACTCTTCGTCTCTTTCTAACTGTCCCCCTAGAAAGAGACGAAGAGTGAGTTTAATCGACCGATTAGATTAAATCACGTTGGTGTAACCGGGCCTAAAAGAGATAAACTCCGATCTAGTGCAGTCAATTCAGCAAGAGAAAACATCCGTTGTGAAAGGACTCCAATAATCTTTTTTATTGCAACAATGGATCTGTTTTTTTATTGTTGATTTAATAGAAATATGATTTAATAGAAATAAATTGGCAGTTTATTTATGTATTGTATCATATTTTTTCAGTAACATAGATATCGTACAATATATTGCCCATAATGGACTTTATACTTAAATTCTTACCATCGACCATGCATGCTGAATATAAAGAAGCTATTAAAAGCACGACGAGTAAGATGCTGGAGCATGTTAACAACAGGAGCAGGAGGTATACATAGTTGCATTTAATATTATACGAGATTATATAAAGTTATTAATAAATAGTCAACATAGGGTAGGATTTTCAAGTATTAAATATCTTTATATTAAATGTGTATACTGTCAATAAGTTGTGTTATTTTAAATTTATTTATTGAATTATCTAGAATGAGACATTAAAAACTTGACTCTGTCAGGGAAGTGGGCTTCCAAATGTTTATACAGTTTGTGCTATGTATTAAATAGTTATCAATGGAGCTTAGAAGATTTTGAAATCGGCTCACCATTAGGAAGAGGAAAATTTGGTCGTGTGTATCTAGCCAGGGAGAAAACTACTCAGTATATGGTTGCCTTGAAGACGTTGTACAAAGTTGAATTGGTAAAGGGACGCGTGGAGAAGCAAGTAATGCGAGAAATTGAAATACAGTCGCATTTGAGGTACGCATCCAGTATAACTCCATGTTCCCGAGAAAAACATTCAATATTTTACTCACATAAATATCCTCTTACTCACACATTATTTCTAGACATCCGCATATTCTTCAGCTGTTAACGTATTTCCATGATAACAAGAGGATCTATCTGGTATTGGAATTTGCTGCGAGAGGTGAATTGTACAAGGAATTAAAACGTCAACCAAACGAGAGATTCAGCGAGCACTTGTACGCACATTTGTAATCCTACGCCCACTGTTGTTTTATAAATGTTTAAGAATGGTTAAGAACTATTCAAACGTTTCAGGTCTGCCAAATATACTTACCAAGTGGCCGACGCTTTGGAGTATTGTCACAGGCACAATGTGATTCACAGAGACATAAAACCTGAGAATTTGTTACTTACGTATAACGGAGATATAAAGCTCGCAGACTTTGGGTGGTCCGTACACGCGCCGTCCTCGAAGTAAGCACAAAACCCATGATTCAAAATCATTTTTCATTTTTTAACAGCTAGTTATTTTATGCAACATTATTATAAATTTCAAGGAGATTATTTAACAATTTAATTTCGCTTCGAAATAATTAGATTGAAATCTATTCTTTCAGACGAGACACGTTGTGCGGAACATTGGATTATTTGCCACCAGAGATGATAATGGGCCAAGCTTATGATTTCTACGTCGACCATTGGTGCTTAGGAATTCTCTGTTACGAGTTCCTCACGGGGCAGCCGCCTTTCTTAAGCGGTTCCACGCAAGAAACGTACGCGAAGATAAAGACTATAAGTATACAGTGGCCGGAACAGATCAAACCTCCAGCCAAAGACCTTATATCCAAGGTACTTTATGCTTTACATCTCTGTATTAGAATACGCATAATCAAGATTTTTAATTTTATAAATTTATTCTCGCAGTTGATCAAGAAACAAAGTTCGGAGCGAATTTCCTTGGCTGGAGTTAAGAGACATCCCTGGATCGTAGAACACAAAAATTCACCTAAACGAAAAGCTTAAACTTAAGAAGGATTAAGAAGGATATTGTTCTTTATCGACTCAACAACGCATATTTTATGTTCGATACTTTTATTGTAGTCCCTTTTTTTATAAGTTAGATGCAATGTCGAGCTAGACTCGCGTTACGGCCACTTTAAGTTGATACCCGTGACGTCCAATGCGACAATGTCCACTTCGGCGTTAAGAAAATCGCCCAGGCTCGGCTTGGTCCTACCGAAATCTCCGTGCACGAATTCTTTCACGTATGTACCCGCTTGCGTCTTGACGTCGAGAACGAAAAACGCGTCGGTACTCTCGGTAGCGGTATGCAACTCCTTCAGCTCGTGAGGTTTCGCCCAACGCGCGCGCATTTCGCAAATGATACGCGTTCGCGGACTCAATGGCCGCCTATGCAACACTCTCACCGGTGTCCTCTGGATAATTCGGACGTTTTTCAGCTTATTCAGATGCTCCAACTGCGGTAAATCGCCACTCGCGCCTCGACAGATGCACAGCGCTCGATAAAACTTCGTTTTAACGTTCTCACCTTCCTTGAGCTTCTTTAAATCGAACCTAGGAGTATATATTCGATATAATTTTCTTATTAAATTGCATTTTTTTAATTCGAATTACTTATTCGTCCACGATTATGCTTATCATTGATTACTTAACTTTATACTACATTGTATTCTTATTCGTCAACGATTATGCTTATCATTGATTATCCAACTTTATACTACATTGTATTCTAATCTCATTACTTTAATTAAATTTAAAAAACGTACCTTGAAAGAACTTTTAAGCTCGATGTTATTTGAACCTGCTTAGTCGACTGATTTATGCTATCGGTTAGACGTGTCAAAAGCTCGCTAGTGATATTCGTCATGCGAGGATTCAATAACTCAACAGCGAATGGTCGGCCATTGTATATGTTTCTGACGTCGACGTCTTCTCTTCCTGACGATAAAAATTTTATCGCTACGCGAACATAAACGTTTCATAGCTTTGTTGTAAAAAAAATATATATATATGCTATAATAACATGAACAAAACACAGTCAAAACGTACATTCTGCCTTCACAATTTCTGCGATGGGATTGCCGAGTAGATCTTGCACCGAGGTTTCCACCTTCTTCTCGCCGTTTATGAACCACGGTGTCTGACTAAGCTTCCTGGAGAGTTTATTGTAACGTCCTGAAATTCTGAAATTTTATAAGAAATCTCGTGGTGCGTTATTTTGATATCATTTAAGACGTTACCTCCTATGAAGACACTGCTGTGAGAACATAAGATATCGTCAACACAAACGAACGTTTTTGGTGCGATTTCCGAGATCGTAAAGTGTCGCACGAGTTGCTCATCCGTCATCTCAGTCAGCAAAGTATCAACGTTCTTCCTACTAAATTTGTTGTCATTCCATTTTCTCTTTTTCTGGCTATCGCTGCCTCCCTTAGGTTTCATTCTGCAAGTGGAAACGGAAGAAGTTCTCGAGATGCGTTTATAGAAAGTAATCTTCTTTTATCTACAAAATATCTCCTATGTCGGTAATAACATAGTTGCTAGTATTACAGTTTTGTTTTAAATTACAAGAACTCTTAAAAAAAAAATGCTTACAACTTTTTAAATATTACTTCGTCATCGGTGTAGGTCAGGAAGATCTCGATGAGAAAGGGCGACGGTGTCGACAGATCGGCACGTTTTCCCATAGCCTGTTCGAGTTGGGGAATCATAAACGATTTCCAAATATCTTTGACACTCTGTAACCTTGTTCGAAGATTGCTCAAGACAGATTCGTGAATGTCTATCTCCTTGGACATGTAAGCGTACAGTACGTGTTCTCTGAGCTTCACCGATACGGGAACGGTCAACGCGCAAGTGAAAGTCGTACAATCATAATCTTTCTCCTTTACTTTCTCCGCTATCTGCATACAATTGAAGGTATCAGCAAAACGTCAGAAATATCAGGCTAAATAGACCGTATATAGAGCTATACATATTGTTAACAGTTTACTTTTGAAACAATGTTTTCTTGTGCCTTATCTTGAAGAACTCCTAAGCATGCGATGCAAGGTGCTTCTTCCACAGAAGTATCATCTCTTATATCAGCATAACTCGGCTGCAATAAATATTAAAATATGATTCAGTACTTGTCAGATCAAGTTTATCTTGGCAATAAAGCTACTCTTTTACAGTGTTTTTTTAAATCTAAATTAATATACAAATTTATTGCAATACAGTTTTTGCTTCAGATTTATTTAAATATTATGACAATGCCGGTGTTATAAATTTGAACGAATTATTTATTGAGATTGACATGCGACGTTTTTTTAAAACAATCTTACCTGTGCCGCGAATTCGAAAGGTTTGCAATAACATTCCGACGTACGGTATCCAACGAAACGAAAGCAACATCTCAAACAGCAGCCTTGGGATTTTAAAAAGTGGATGATCGTTTTCTCTTCCTCTGTCGTAACAGCGTTCATCTTGAATCAAAATTTAATAAATTCTTCAATATCGTGATTTACGATCAGTACTTAAAAATCGAAAGATCATTTTGTGGCACCGCATAACCTCAAAGGGCAACTTGTGTTTGCTAGGCTCGCTTGCATAACCTCAAAGAACCGGTCGTCCGAATTACATAACCTCAAACAGTAATTATCGCCGTGACTTCGTAATCCCAAAATTTATTCGAACAATTTAAAGGATCGTCGTCTCGTCAATAAAAGAATAATTAGGGGACGTTAATACAGTAATTCATGTAACGATTTTTAAAAGCAATAAAGAATTTTATTATTTTACCTTTCCTTGCGTTTGTTAAATGTAATATTAAATTATAGTATTTTCCATAATTGCTGAAACATTGCTGTTTAATTAAAAAAATAAGAGAAAAGTAAAATACATTCCCAATTAAGAATCAAAATAATATATTTCACAAAGATATCACAGTAGAAACTTACACTTCTCTTTTTATGTTTTACATATAAATATTTTATACAAAGATCTTTAACAGTCTTAAATCATAGACATTCATGGAAATAGAATAGCCTTGAATAACATTCAGGAAGTTCCTTAAAACCTTCTGATAAGCATTCTAGGGCTAAAACATTCTGAGTAGCATATAAGATCCATTTCTGACAGTTTACGTGCAATTCCCGAACGTAATTCTAATGGTAGGCTCCTCAAATTAGGACCCATTGAATTTGTTGCTAATAATATGTCTCCGCGCAAAGGTATGGCTATTGTGTCCTTAAACCTGAAAAATTAATCTCGTAAGAAACTCATTACTTAATACTCTCAATTGAGTATGCAAAGAGAAGATTTATAGTATAAACTTATTAAAAGAGATATATATACACATATATAAGCTTAAAGAGAAAAAAGAAATTATATACACAGATGACACTAGTAAGGTTCCTATTACCTATGTAATGAAATAAGTAAATAAGTAAAGTATGTAGGTGTGTATGTACATAATGCAATAACAGGACAAATATATAGCAAAAAAAAAAATCCCAAGATAACTGGGTAATAACTTGTGACATTTCACAACTCGGAGTACAGAGATTCAAAAATAATAAGAATGCTTCGCACAATAAATAAAATCATATATCATTCGTACCTGCGTGATATCTCCTTGAGATTCATGTACCGAAGACACAAATTTTTCGTAAACGGATTCACGTGCTTCAACGTCTGTACAACCATGCTGTAAACCCTTCTCTTTTCTACATTTGATACTATATTGAGTATCAGTTTATCGCCGAAAGGTATCACGACTAATTTCGATCTAATGCAATCTACGTTACGCAACGTGAAACGTATCTCGTATACGCCTGTTTCTTGCGACTTCCAATTTGTGGGTATATAAACTAATCTTGTATTTCTCTCCCTGTAAATAACACATGCAAATTAATCAGTAAATTAAAAACAATATTTATATTATATTCTACAAGTTGTATACAGTACCATTTCGGTGTTTTGGAAGCGGACAGAATGCCAAATCCGCATTCCGCCAACAGAACGAGCAGCAGGGCAACAAGGTAATCGTGGTGTTTGGCACTCTCGCCCAATTGTTCCAACACCGCGCTCAACGATAACGCTATTGCGGTAAACGTACTGTCCTCCGCCAATATCGGCTCAGATATGTCGACCATCCTGTTCGAGGAACGCAATTTCTCCATCTCTCATAAAACGATGAATTGACTAAATCTGAAGGTGAGGAGCTTTCTCATCGATTTGGCTGAAATTTTACAGTATTGCGTATTTTGGTGCGTAAAACACGAATGTAACAGTTAAAATCGTCGCTGTCGAGTAGGACAAATGTTATAATATAAATTGCTAAAAAAAAAAATAACAGTTTTGGGGTTAGGAAATCTGCCGTATCGACAGCGTACACGAAAGCACGCGCAGTGGCGTAAAAGTGCGCGAAATTTGAAATGTGTATCATTTGAAAATGATTCTAAACAAAATTTATAAGTATACTTGCGGGCTTCGCCCGCCACCCCGCTGAATTGTCATCTTTTTAATAAGCAACATTGATTAATGTCACGATAGGTTGAGTCAGGTTAGGTTATATCTCCAGCGGAGTGGGGAGTTTTGTCCCCCACCCCGCCCGGCCACATATATGTTTACAAATTTTTTTAATTTTTCACGGGTAGGAATATAACAATATACAAACATAAATATATGAAAAACAACGTATCTGAATTAAAAGCCAGCACAAAGTTATATATATATTTTAACAAACGTAAATTAAAAGCTTGAAATTGTATTCTATTCCTATACTCCGTTTTAATATCCTTCTACACCGTCGGTCTGACAGCTTTTCTAACCCCAAAAACCATCATTTTATTTGTCGTATGAATCGTACTAATTTTTCAAACATGATGATTGGCTAGGTAGAGAATTTCTGGATATATACTCAATACGCTGCTATATATACTCACCTTTAAATCGGTATTCATTGGTCTGTTTTTAGCGTTCCTGGCACACGCAGAACGCGTTTTCTCACATCTGTGATTCCAATTAAGAGAAGCCTAGAATCGTTAGGTATATTCTTTCATTTTAATCCACATTTTTCAGACTTTCAATTCCTCTTCGCCTTTTCTTCCGTCTCGCCGTGTGAAAAACGCTGTTCCATCTCGAGAGTGCAGAGTTGCAGAGACCGCGACAATGGTGTAGCTAAAGACGAACAGAAGGGTGAACAGACTCGCCGTGTTCCCAACAGGTATATGCATTTACGGGCACATTAAAAAGGAGAGAGGAAAGAGGAGGATCCTGTCCGGGGAGCATCGCGCACTCGCGTCCCAATGCCGTCCGTGCGAGCACCGACGTGGCGGCGAACGATTATATGATGCTCCAGCACGCGCGCGAAGAACGAAACGTTATACGAGTTGCGACGGACAGCGTCTTGGTCCTAACCTAACTTCGCCCGTGTCTGTGTCTCCGAAGGAATCTCAGGTGGGTTTTTTTCTGGCCGCTTCTCGGCGCGCGTCTCGGGAACGCACGTCGAAGGTGACAGCCCTCTGTTTTTAGAGGGTACACCGCCGTCTGTCGTCCCGCGAAATCTCCGCAACACACCCTTCGGTTCCCTCGTCCTCGCATTTCTCTCTCTCTCTTGACACTTGATCGCCCGACTTGAGGAAGTTACACGTGGAAATGTACGAGCGGCGCGATGCGTACGCGTTGTGGCACTAGGGTACCGTTAAGTGTGATGACACTGGATACTTGAGTATCGTGACGTCGAACGATTAGTATCGAGCGGTAATCACCTTTCTCTTTTTATTTCGTACTAACGCGCTGAGGGCGAATTTTAAAAAGTTACACTCGCAAAGGATGTATTGTCAAAATGTTATGATATATTGTTAAGATGCTTGGACGACATGTCTGGACTTATGAGAAGTTTGTTATTTTGATTCGGTTTTTGACAGTTTTTCGACGACCCATCGACTCCAGCCCCAAGTAGCCAATGCTATTTTCTTTTTTCAGTACCGTATACGAAACATGATGTCCAACGGCGTTCAGAATCTGACTGAGCAGATAGAAGACAGCTCGATGGGGAATAATGTACATCACTCGTCCTCCCCTTCATCCTCGGCGGCACCGGCGGCACCGGCGTCAACGTCGGCCTCGGATTCTACTTTAATGAATTGGTCGTCGTACATCCTGGCAGTCCGACCGTGGTCGCTGAGCGCGTCGCTGATGCCAACGTTTCTCGGATCGATGCTCGCGTATCGATCAGACGTCGGGAGTTTCAGTACGATATCGCTGCTCCTAACTGTATGCATAGTACTTTGCGTACACGGCGCTGGTAATGTAGTGAACACCTACTTTGACTACGTGAAGGGCGTCGATAGCAGAAAAAGCGACGACAGAATACTGGTAGATGAGTTACTGTCCAAAGACAGTTTAGTTAGATTAGGGGAATCCCTGTACGCGCTAGGCTGCTTGGGATTTGTCCTCCTGGCGATCATCTCTCCCGCGAAGATGGAGCATCTGGCTCTTGTGTACTTCGGAGGTTTGTCCTCCTCCTTTCTCTACACAGGAGGTATAGGATTTAAATATATCGCTCTGGGCGATGTACTTATCTTAGTCATATTCGGTCCAATCTCAGTTTTATTTGCGTTTATGGCGCAAACCGGTTACATTGAATTAGGAACAATTTATTACGCGATACCGCTCGCCTTAAATACCGAGGCTATTTTGCACAGCAATAACACGAGGGACATGGAGAGCGACAAGAAGGCCGGGATCGTAACGCTAGCTATCTTGATAGGTCGTACCGCGTCTCACGTTTTATATGCTTTTTTACTGTTTACACCGTACGTAATTCTTATAGTATTGGCGGTCAGATATTCCTTCTGGTTTTTTCTGCCAGTGATCACTCTACCGACCGCCTTTGAAATAGAGAAGGAATTCCGCAATCCGGATAGAATTCAAAATGTGCCTAAACAGACAGCCAGATTAAATATGTTTCTAGGTATTTTGTATGTTGGCGCTTGTTGGCTCGTCGGTTCGCTTCCTTATCTGTAAATTATTCGCATCATCCTGGATTACTCTTCCCGTTCATTAACCCGGTGATACCTTTCTCAATGAGATCTTATCCAGATTTGCAATTAAAGGTACACCTTTTTAGACAAGCGGAGAAAATTATTTCTTTTATTTATTTTTATTTATTAACTACGTTCAATATAACTCTGCGTCATATTGTAACGTAACATAATGGAGATGTGATTGTTTTTATTGGCTGCATTCAGCAGAGAAATCTGTTTTGCAACATCTTTGTTAAGATTCGTGAATTCATACATGGTGTATACTCTTAGCTTCAGCCAAAATTAAAAGCATACACCGATCAGATTCACAAATTTTACAGCAGTTGCGAAGCAGTTTTCTCTGTTGAACGCAGCCATTATCTGCAAGGGTAATCCAAGATTGATGAAGTTAGACTTTATCGATACATGTATCAGCAGCTTGTTGTTTACTGACAAATTTGATAATTGTATCAAAATCCTTGTGCCCTCAAAATTCATCACTCTCAAATTATATTTAGCACAAGTAAAAGAGAAGCTATAACTCGTTTGTCAAAGATATTCATGTCACATTCGCCTCAAGTACAAACTTTATTCATATCATTTTCGAAGTGTTTGTCACAAAATTAGGTTCCCGTGACTTGATCTTGAATTATTATTTCATAAAGCGCACTGTGTGTGTATTATTACTTTTTATAATAAGATAAAATATCATTCTCGCGGATGTCAAGACTTGAAGAAACGAAGATATATAATAATAGCCCTTCGTTTGTTCTTTCTCATTTTCACTTAAAAGTCAACCAAATTTATGTTATAATTTATTTAAAACTATCTTTTATATGAATTTCTCAAAATTAAACTTCTTGAAACAGACTTTTGTGTATTTATTTTAAGATATATTTCAAGAAACACGTTGCGAAATATTTGCGAATATCCATAGTCTGCGTATTCGATTATAGGAATGAGGTATACGCGCATGAATTTCGTTATGCAAATGTTCGCATGCTATTTATGGGCCAATTCCTTTTTAGTGATACAAGTCGACACAAACATCATCCTATCCTTCTTGGCATTCAATGAATAACAAAGACAAAACGACTATTGTGTCACTAAAAGGAATTGGCCTTGTGTTGTAACTTACGCGTATAATAGTTTTAACAGAGTGATATCTCATGAGCATCACAATGTCGTATGTTACATTCTCACATGTTATGTTCAACTTAATCGTTTTATTTTTACTCGACAAATTAAACTTTCCTTCTCCACTAATGATTCAGATATGCATCGATAACGTACATAATCTTTAGACATGTCAGATGTCAATAGAACAGATATTGTAATATCACTGTTTGTTTAAGTGCTATAAGAAGCTACGGTTGTAATATTTATTTCCTAAATAGAGACTCGAATTAGGAATAAATCAAAAGCATAGCGGAAATACGTAGTATTTTAAAATACATTTTCACCAAGTGAAAATGCATAGTTTGCTTTTACCTGGATCTACCCGATAATCGACTAACAATGAAATATAAGAGGCTGGAACTGTAAATGTGTTCTGTGAGTAGCGCAAAAATGAACAATTTTAGTAATACAGGAATTATCGTAACATTAATTTAAAACAGGTTTTCAGATTTTATATGATTATACATGTATAAAATTGTTATACAAAATTTTTTTACGAGAAAGCAAAATATTATGTCAATTTGTATTATATTCTGTATATAATGTCACGAAACCTTGTATTATAGCATCATTTGATCTCAGTTCATCGATAATGAATTTATTAACATCTTTCGTTATAAAATATCCTATATTAAATATCTCTCTTTGAAGGCGCATACATTTTCAACGTATATAATAAAATTATCATATCGAGAGGAATCGGAAAAGGAATGTGCAATACGATTCAAAGAAAGATATACGAATAGAGGAGAAGCAGAAAAAAATTTGTGTGACTAATTCAATAAATAATTTTAATATATAATCAATAAATATTTTCATGACACTGATTCTTCCAGAATATTCATTATTTTCTTCTGAAGAAGTTTCTTTTTCTTGTCTTCTCTGTGAGAATTTAAACTGTGTTGTGAATGTACAATATCAAGTGACAATACCTTTAAGATCGTGGAAAAAAGCGATGGTTTTGTTAAAAATATATATTTTCCAAATCATACAATCTATGAATTACATATTGTATATATATATATACACACGAGACAATTAAGTTACGAAAAATAAATTAATGACTAGTTCTATTTTTTTTTATGGTCTTATAACATACAATTTAATAACATTTAAGATCGTAGCAGCGATTTAATAGTATTCCTTTCAATTATTTACAAATATATTTCAAATGTTATACACACTGAGATATATTTGACGGGAAAACAATTGTTTCAAAGTAAATCGTCGCATGTCAATATATAAATACAATGCATGTTGTATATAACGTATTGTATATAAACGTGAAAATATAAAATAATACAAAATATAATATAAGATAATACAAAAGATACTATTAAAATCATCATACGGTTAAAGGGGAAAAACTTATACGCCTTCCACCGTCAAGTCCATCTCGTCGAGCAAAGCATTCTTCAGTCTGTCTTCCAACAACGCGTTCTCCAATTGTTGCGCCTGCAAGCGGTTTTCTACTTCCATGGACACCGAGTGCACCTCCATGACGCGAGCCTTGGTGCTCTCGCAAAACTCCGCTAGTAAACCGAACTCCTCGTCCAACGCGCTATCATCCAAATCGTTTTCCGATTTATCGAACTTCCTTCGTTTCCTCGTCGGCTCGTTTAACGTGACGTTATCATCCGAGTTTAATTCGTGTACCATAAATTCTGTCAGTACGTTGGACTTGAACCACCACGGTAAAGTCCGGAAATGCTTGATGTGATTTCTGTTATAAATGACCATTTGATCCTCGTCCAGAAGACGCACCTTCTCCTTGACCACGTGTAGCAGTATGTGTACGAAGCTGGTTATTTGCAAACTGCCCGAGGTGAGGAACAGGTTGCTCAATATATCGCAAAATACGATATTACAGTTCGAGTCGGACAGCACCTCCCTGCAATAATTCATAATGTGCCGTCGTAGATCCTGTATGTCCGTTATTGGCCATGGTGCACTAAAAATGAGAAAATAAGCGACGTTGAATAACAAAGCGCTGAAAAACGTACAGCTACGGCTGTGTGTATTGTTACATACAGATATATTGATATAATTAACAATTACATCGACTTCCATCACTTACTTCCATGGTGGTAGCACAAAACCATTCATCGCGGTCTCTAATTTTGCCCTGTATTCGTCTCGTTTCCACGACTCGGTGAAATATTCGTAACTGCATGGCACGATGTCGGTGCTCTTAAGGAATTTCTTTAACTCAGGCGCGAAATTCGTGTATAACATGGATTCTGGATCTAAGATTATGTCTATCAAGTGATTTACAGCCTCATTGTGCAAATCGATTACAAAGTTGGGGTCCGTTAACGCATTTGACAATTGTTTATTGAACATAGAATCACCCAGTATCCTGTAAATTATAATATTAGAATATATAATCGTTGGAATATATAATCAGGTAAGAATATACAAGTAGAGAGGGGAAGAATCTTACCTCAACCACAACTCTTCGGACAAACAAATGTCGTATACATTACACAGGTAATCCATTTCCAGTGGATTCGGTGGTGATTTGTTCATCGTCAACCATAAAACTGCGCTTTGCGTCAAATTCAAGATAATTTTCGCGGACAGATTCTCCTCATACATGATCGTGTATTCAGACACGTAGCCAGATTCCAGGAGGGATTCCAAGTCCGAGACGATACTGTCGTTCTGATTTTCCAGGTCCCCGTTACCCAGGACGATAAAGGCGAGGGGCATTGGCATCAGTTTATGCCGCGACAATATTGTCCTCGTTAAACGTTTCGCGACAGACCTGTAGTTCTCCGAGGCGTCGGCGATGAACAGAAGCGCATCAGTGCCGACCAAGTGGTGCTCGCTGATCAGACCCTCGAAGTGCCTTACGCAAACGTGCAGAGTCTCATAGGGATTTGGCCGGTAAAGCTTCACCATGGGATTCATCGTAAAATCGTTGGGATACAAGTATTCGTTCATCACCTTCTTGTGATACCACAAGACCGGTTTGTTAGCCAAGTCCGGCCAGGAGATGACGAGTTTCCAGTACACGTTGGGCAGGGGATCGGTATCCAACGATCGTGCGTTCTCCTTGATGCCGGCGTACGCGATGACCTCGATCGGCGCGAGAGTCTCCGCCGTGCTGGGCGCGACGTCCTCCGGTTCGCTTCGCCGTTTGCGCATATTCCGTATCACGACCTCCTGGCCCTTGGTGTACAGCATCCGCGCGGTTTCCTCCACGGAGTGCTTCTGCAGCCAAACCGGCGTGTCTTCCAACGCCGCTCTCTGCCGCTTCTTCCTCGACACGTACCGCCTCCAGAGGTTTATGTATTTAACGATCACTTGGTTCTTAATTCGCAGCAACATCGCCTGTAACTTCCGTTCCCGCTCGATCTCCGCGGTCAACGTTGCGTCGCACATCTCGTGAGTCACTTCGCCGATCATGTCCGAGAGGATTCTCCTGCTCAGCGTGTCGTACATCTCCAGCCTGTCGATCTCCTGTCTCGCGATGGCCGAGCAGAGCTCGTGCGTGACCTCCGCGTGCAAGCTGTTGTAAATCTCTTCCGACTGCTCCTCGACCTGTTGCATTCTCCTCTCGTGCTCCAGCTTCTCCAGCTTAGCTCTCTCGGCCTCCGACATCGCTTCCTCCTGAGTATTTTGTTCCTTCTTATGGAAGACACCTCGCGCCTTCGTTGTCTTATCCGTGAACGATTGTTGGGCGAGAAAATGTTTGTTAACGAATATCATGGAGGAAGAAGGCGCGACGTTCCTCGTAAACATATTTCCCAGCTCCGCGCCGGAGAAGATGCTCTTGTTTATGGCCATCGCGAATGGTGGGACCGGTTCTGCATTACGTGACGTTTCCGGTTTGGAGAACACGGAAGAATTTCCGGCAAATTGATGATCACCGAGAGTATTGCCGCTACCAAACATCACTGATTGTTGTTTCTCATCAGTTGCAGCAGCGTCTCCGCGTTGCGCGCTGGTCGCACCTCGGTTGTCGGACTGTTTCTCGGAAGTTACTTTTGCCGATGCGCCAGCTTGAGCCTTCGATTCCTTCGGCTTGTGCTCGACGAGTGTATCTGTTTTAGAGATGCCCGAGGTGATCGAGTTGGGAACCGACGCCCGTTTAAATGCGTCCGCCTCGTCGTTTGCCGGCTGCTTTCGAATCTGCGCAGAACGAAGGTCCCTGACGGCTCTCTGATCCCGGATCGATGTCAGCTTCGGTACCCTCCTCGTCTCCTTCTCCACGAATTCGTACGGATCGTGCCGTCCCGCTGAAGAGGCATCGGAATTTTGATCGGCGGCGTTGAAGGACTGTGGCATCAGATAGCCGTGCGCGTCGAAACTGTTGTGCGGCTTGTGATTCTTATAAGTCTTCTCTGGCATTCTTTTACCGGCGATGCATTGTCCGATGCTAAAATTTAAGACGACTCTCTTGGACTCTATTAAATTGCAAGCCCTACCCTGCTGGATACTAGATGGCATGCTGAAGCTCTGACGATTCAAGAGAATATGCATTTCGTCATTCGACAGGTTCAATCCCGCTTGCACGCAGAAATATACAGCTTCGTTTTCGTCCTCGAAACCAAGGATGTCTATAAACTCGTACAACGGGAAAGTAGTCGAGGTACTCCTGCAGTATGCCTTTATCATTATCGAAAGAGCTCGCAGTCTGACTTGGTTGAAGTACCTTAAGAGGATGCAGGCGTTCAAGTAAGTCGTCTCTCGAACGAGCTTGAAAAATTTGTAATAGTTATTCGACTCCAAAGAGAAATATACCTTGATCGCAAACTGGACCTCCGGCGAGTTTTGCACGGTCTTCGGCAACTGCTGTAAGTCGTACAGAAAGTTACCGTTGTTCAAATTCAGCAGTACAACGTACGCCCTGAATTCGGGCTCGTTTTCGCAAGTGATACCTTTCACCCTCAAGTCGTGATACATGTATTTCAAAGTCTGCAGACACTTGGTCAAGTTCTCCGAGTTGATCTTCTTGTCGAACACGGACGCGTCCTCCGCGCAGAGCCTCTCCGAGCATACTATGTGAAATCTGGCGCACTGCTCGATCAGCTCGACGCTCTCCTCGCAACATAGCTCCTGGTGCGTAATGTCCTTCCTGATTCCTCTAGTCCTGTCCCAGAGGAAATGATACCATTCGGCTAGGTTCGTTCCTTCCTGCTCGCAGAGATCCACTAACTCGTGAAGCAGGTAGCTCATGGTCATCTTCAAGGATCTCACCGGCCTCAGTTCATGGGGCATCGGCTCCTCCTGATCCGCGGAGGATCTCGAATATTGCTTCACGGCAGTCGCGTGATTTATCCTGTACTCGTTCCCCTCCAGCTGCTCGTACGGCGCGACCTGCCTCTGCGACTCGCGCATCAGACGTTCCTTCTCCGGGCACATATCGGGGCAAGTGCCGTTGGTCATCTTGGCCATCGCGAGCGAGGCTGGCTTGACTCGCTTCAGTCTCATGAGACGGTCTCTTGCCTCCAACACCTTGTACTTTTCTTCAGCCGTGAGAGCAGCTTGATGTATTATGTTCTGCAGCTCTTCCATGGTTGTGTTGGGCAAGACTTTAGATATCTGATTCTCGGTATCGTGCTTTTCGACTTTCGCAGCGGCTTTTTCCAACTTCGCCGCAGCTTTCTCATGCGGCAGTGCTGCTTTCCCTCCCGACGGTTTGGTCTTTAACGGAAGCAACGCGCCCACGTCGGGTAGCTCGCTCCCTTTGGCAGGATGCAAATTATACTCCACGGTCGCCATGGCTTCTAATTCTGATTTAATCTCGTCGTCGGACGCTTTAAGTAGATTCGCCACTATGTTTCGCTGCAAATCCTTCTTCTTGGTCGTCGTCTTTGCCGCTGACTCCAGCTTTGTCCATTCTACGTGAAACTTCTCACCCTTGTGCTCGCCACTGCCGTAATACGCTGAGCTTGCCTCTACCTTCGTCGTGTAAACCACCGTGATTACGTGCTTCTTCGGACGAATAGTTATCTTCACGATATTTCCATATCTCGTAAAGTATTCCTTCGCTGCCGTTTTAGTCAGAAGGGCTTTGGGCACGTCGGAGCACGTTATCGAGTTGTTCACGTTGACTTTGGTAACGCGCGACCTGGAATTCTTCTTCAGCTGTTCAAACGCCCCCGTGTCCTTGAGAGCATTAGCGAACACGTTGACTGTGGGCTTGTACGTGTTCCTAGCGATTCTAGGTTTATATTGTTTGTCGGGTTTACTGGCCCATAGACCGGCGCGACTCTGATCGTGTCGGGACACTATCGTGGGCGCGGCGAAAGTAAATACATTCTTCTTATTGAAATGAGTGTCGAAGACATGATCTGATCCTACGCCGAAACTAACAATCCTTGGAAGATCCGACACGGCACTCGGCTTGGAGAACACGAAAGAGTTCGAAGCTGTGCCCGGTCTCGAAACATCGACGTCCATTTCGTCATCCATCTCGCCCGGAATTTCTGCGAATAATCACATAAATATCAATGTCAATATATGAATGAAGGGAATACCGTGTATCGAAATAAAAGTAAATACGATTTAACATTTGCGGGTGTTATACTCTCGAACGGAATCTCGTCAAAATATTGTTAAATGCGTCTCAGACGGGATTAATTAAAGATCGTGAATCTACTAACCTGTGTCCGGATTAACAATCCCAAACAACCCTTTCGAGTAAAATAATTATTAACACCAGGCGGAAGATAACCTACGTTTCCGCGCGCATTCAAAACACTAACCTGTCTTTACATGAAAGTCACGAAACGACTGACGTTTTGAGTTGTGACGTTACCTGTGACGTCACATCGACGAGCTCGCGGCCAAAAAGTCCTCTTTTCAATGGCCGCATTCAGGAAACACAACTGTTGAGTGAGCGGTCAGCGATTCTTTAATATGATTGGTTCTTACCTTTGGTTCTTCTCCGGATCTAAGTGTAAGAACCAATCATAATAAGCGGTCACTCAACAGTCGTGTTGCCTGAACGCGGCCAATGGTCGCGTTCAGCAGACCAAACCGCTCAGTAGCAGTCGAACGTGATTGGCTGTTACTTTTAGAACCAACCAATCAACGCAGAGTGTTGATAAGACGACACTCAACAGTTGTGTCTGCTGAACGCGGCCAATGAATTTTGAAACGCGTTCGATCAAGCGTGCGCCGTGCGATAAAGAAATCCGCGAGATTTAATTTGAATTTGCGACATGGTCGTAGTTCTTGTATCTCTGATAAAATTAGTTTCAAATTTCATTAACTGTTTATGATTAGTTAGATTAGTTTCTGAATTATAGGCATTTGAAAGTCTTTTTTACAAGACCGTTTGTATCCTGAGGGCTTTTTTAGCTGAATTTCTTGCACGGTTCACCTTTTCTCTTTTTCTTTTCACGTTGAAGAGAAAAACTGGTGTAGCATTTTCAAAAATACGCAGTCGTCTTTTCCTTTGACCAATCAGAAATTTGTCCAAAATACAATAAAGCAACATGTGGCTCCTCGCATAATGTGACAGGACAGTTTGTGTCAGTTTGTGTTAGCCGTTGCACGTGTTTCTTAGCTGGTCGTAACAGGTTCGAAAAAATATCTCTCGCGATCGTAAAATATTATAAAACAAATAAACATATGCCAAACATATCAAATTTATTAGATTTTTATTAGATATTACATATTGTTTAATTGTATTTTGTTCACGAAGAAGCCGTGCCATCATTATGAGCTGCTGTATTAAAAATTGTACTAGTCGGTATTATACAGTGTCGAGAAACATTAAGTTTTATGGGTTTCCAAAAGAAACAACTGTTCGTCAGCGATGGCTTAATGCCTGCCAAATTAAAAAAAGTAATAGAAATATTAAATACGGTAAGTTAAAATTTAAAAAATGATGGTAAGTTAGTGTTTTAACTTCCAACTCAACTCAATGTCATTGTTACTTACATGTGTTTACATACGTCACAATCATGATTTAATATATTTATAGAAAAAATATGCAGTATCCATTTTGAAGAAAACTGTTTCGAGCTTGTGAAGACAAAACCACAATCAAAAAATCAATCAGTCAAAGAAATTATAAGATTAAAAAAGGGATCTATTCCAACAAAATTGTTAAATCTAGAAAATATACAAAGAAGACCCCGAATGTCGCAGAGCAAGAAAGATAACAAAAAAATTAAAGTACCGTAAGTATTTTCTAGATTGTTATGTATATAGCTGTATATATTATACTGTGTCTGAATTTAAGTGTCAGGTCACTCGTGTAAAGGTAAATTAGGTCAAATTGAACGAAACTTCTCTATTATTTTGCAAAGAACCATGTAAAATATATATACAAATGTACAAATGAAACTAATACTTATTTACAATATTCTTTCAGAGAAAAGTCATCTATTGTACCTAATACATGCACAGAATTTGTACAGTATGCACAACAAAAACAGCGTTTATCGCAAGAAGAAACTGTAACAGGAATGGAAACAGATGTTGCACAAAATATGGAAGAAGCTGGAAAGAATATGGAAAGTGATATTTTACAAGATACGGAAAAGAAAGTTACAAAAAATATAGATAAAGTAGCTACACAAAATATGGAAGAGCAAAGTGAAGCGATAAAACAACAGGGGTATGTAGCTAAATGTTTCTTTAAAATTATTATTCAATAGATTCCAATCACGATCATATTTAAGTTGTTAGTATACATTGTTATGAAAAGTATTTTACAGAAAGCAAGGGATTAACGATAATACAAATTATGTTGATGTCAAAATGTTATCAAAGCAATTAAGAAAGTCAAAAGAACTGAACCAAAAACTTTTCAAAAAAAATAAAAATCTTCAAAAATGGATTTTACAGTTGCAAGCAAAAATTAAACACATGACGAAAAATAAACATAAAGAAGCGGAAACAATAGCCATCGACGTAAGATATTTACACCTAACCAGATTACAATATGTTAATGTCGCGGACAAAAAATCGTGTAAAATGGTCATTTGAAGATATTATGTCAGCCATTTCGTTACGATCAATAAGTTTAGAAACTTATAGGTATTTAAGAAATGTAAAAAAAAAATGCCATTACCGTGTGCAACAACACTGCAGAACTGGGTTAACAAGGAAAAACCATTTATAAGTCAAGCAATAAAGAAAATATGTGTAAAATGTTCTGGAAGAATATGTTCCTTTATTTAAAATTGTTTTAATATAATATATGTCACTCCTATACTATTTTTTGTATTGTAAATTAGTTTCTACAACTTAGAACTGTATTAGTCCAATCTTATATATTTCAGATTATACGAAGGCTCTCATCTGAAGACATAATTGCAATTAAGGGCTGTTTCATCACTACAACATCAACATCTTGAAACTTAAAGACGATTTTAAATATGACGGAACTAATGCTGCACTTAAGGTCATGGCTACATTCTGGACAAAAATTTGACTAGCTGTTTTATTCGGTGTTCTTCGGCCGCCAAAGAAAATTAACATTACTTATGCATAATTGTGTGTTGCAATTATAAGCTAGACAATATACTGCTCGTATAGAGATCAGCATAAATAACAGCATAAATTTCTATATTAATAACATGCATTTTTTGTGTGTCACTAAATGTTACTGTGTACAGTTAATAAATATATCAAAATTCAAATATAATTATTATAATCTAAATTTAATTTAAAACTATTTTTTATTTTTGTAGGAATGCAAAAATACAGTTTAAAGTGATCAATCAATATCATTTAATTAATTATAATAATTTACATTGATTCTATCTTGAAATTGACACAATAAATCTGAAATAAAATACGAAGGCGAATCGTCCCCTCGCCGCAGAGCCGCCGTCGGCGGCGGCGACGGCGGCGGCGGCGGCGGAGAAAGCCGAGTAGTGAAGAGAAGCAGACGAGACTCGCGATACCAATCATCGGCCATCGCCGAATCCGGTTCCGCTCCCCCTCGAGTTTGAATTCCGTAACGGTCTCGCGGCGAAGTACGTACGTGAGTACAAGTACACGAGCACGAGACGACAGTCGAGGACCGTCCCACCCTGTTTCTCCGGTGACGGAGGCAACCGCGCTTTGACGTACGACCGTGGGTAGTCACAGGACGCCGGAACGGGACGGGAGTCGGGAGTGTCGGGACTGACGGGAGTCCCGCCGCGCCGAGCGGCCAAACCGGACGACGATGACGACGAGAAACGACGACGGCGGCGATGCACGCCTGACGTAATCATACGCGGCTCGGCTCGGATTTTTGCGCGCGTAGGCAGGCCGCCGTCGCGCCGATTAGCATCCGCCGCGGGCGGACTTCGCCTAGTTACCCGCCCACACTCCGACGTCGCCCCGCGTGTTTACTGCGCGCCCGCGCTATATCGCCGCTAATTGAACGCTCCTATTTGCATTAACGTCGCGCTGATGACAGATCCACCTGATCGGCATCTGCTACTGCGCCGTACACCCGCAACTGGAGCACGATGGAGGACGCGAACGAGGTTTTGGTGTGCGCGGCCGAATTCATAAAAGGTAATCCCGTTTCTGGAGCGGAATCTATTTTCGATGACCGCGGGGAAACACGTCGTCCCCCCCGCCCCCTCCCCGCCAACCCGGTTGTAACGTTTCGTGAGGGATGTCTTGTAACATTTTCGTCTCGTTACAATCGGGACATCTGCGAGGTGTCCGACGGAAAAAACGCTCTTTCAATTGAAATAAATGACGTGCGAATTTCTAATACTTTCAAGTTTCAAGATGTTGAGGTACCTTGGATGTTTCCCTTGAAAACAATATTCACTACTGTCAACGTGGTCTTGTAATCAGAATTGTAATATCTACATCTGAAAGCTTTAAAATCATTTTTTAATGCGGTATAAAATTTGCCGAAAAAAAGGGAAAGTTTAAAGTTTTGTATGAAAGAGAAAGATTTTCTACAGAATGTGAGGAATAAATTTGTTTCTTCTTCCAGATCGATTGTACTTTGTGACATTCAGAACAGCAATGAAACCAAAAAGTACTCCAAACACCCACTACTTCAGTATTGACAACGAGCTGGTATATGAGAATTTTTACTCCGACTTCGGCCCTTTAAATCTGGCCGTGCTGTACAGATACTGCCAAAAGGTTAACAAGAAGTTAAAGGGCATCGCGCTCAGCAAAAAGAAACTCGTGCATTATACGACGCTGGACGCGGAGAAAAGAGTCAATGCTGCATTTCTTATGGGAAGTTACGCGGTAATGGAGCTTTTTCTTTCTCTTACAATTTTGTCAGTCATTTTATAAGTTATATATATAAATTTTATGAAGAAAGTTATTTGTTAACTCATAAAAATCCACTTTATATTTTCAGATATTATATTGCAAGCGTACAGCGCAAGAAGCTTACGAGTGTTTGACCAAAAGTCCAAATAGTCCCTCGTTCATCATGTTTCGCGATGCCTCCGTTGGACCACCCTGCTATCAAATATCGTTGAGGGACTGTCTAAGTGCTATATACAAGTGCCATCGACTTGGTTTCTTTAATTTCGAAGATTTCTGTGTTAAAGAGTACGAACACTTTGAAAGAGTTGAGAATGGGGATTTAAATTGGATAGTTCCTGGGAAGTTCATTGCTTTCTGTGGTCCACACGCGAGATCTAAAATGGAAGATGGTGCGTATCTTCCACCTTAATTGTATTCGTGACGCGTAAAGGGTTGTGTGCATGAAAAAGAATGCAATAGTGACAGAGAATCGGATGAGCAAGCAAATCCATGGAATGAGTGTTTACAAGCGCAAAAGCAAAGAAATACGTGCGAGTATGAGCGAAATTTGAAGATAAACGTGTGGCAATAGATGAGAGAAGAGTAAAAGGACACTTATTTAAGGAACATACATAGTAAAAATCTATCTGGGCATTTAATTTTTTATCTTTATCGCTTAAATCGTCTTATCGTTGTATAATTATATTGGATAATGCATCAAGTGTCATGTACTTTTTTCACAGGTTACCCACTTCACGGACCAGAATGGTATTTTACGTATTTCCGCCGTAATAACGTAACAACAATTATACGGCTTAATAAGAAGGTCTACGATGCGTCGAGCTTCACCGATGCCGGTTTTATTCATAAAGATTTATTTTTTATGGACGGCTCGACGCCGACGGATGCGATAATGCATCAGTTTCTCAAAATAGCGGAAAACGCGAGTGGCGCGGTCGCCGTGCATTGTAAAGCAGGCCTCGGGAGAACGGGTTCTCTCATAGGTTGCTACATTATGAAGCATTACCATTTGACGGCTCACGAAACGATCGCCTGGATAAGGATATGTAGGCCAGGTTCTGTAATTGGGCATCAGCAACAATGGCTGGAGAGGTAGGTACATATACGTGTATCGGTTTTTTATGTTCTGATTACGATGTATCTAATCGCTTGAAAATGTTACATTGTTCATAAAAAGAAATACTGACAAATCTCTGTGTCTTTTAGAAAGGAGGCATATCTCCGATCGCTGCTGAAAGAACCGTTGCAACCTGAAAATGGAAATCCGGTACACGAATACGGGATATATTCGATAGCTGGTAGACCTAGAGCAGCTTCTTTCCAAGGGGACGTAAAGACTTTGATGGAGGATAACGTATCGGGGATAATGCATCGCGTGGATGAAATAAAATTAGACGATCCTGGACCAGTGGCTGGGGCTAGCGCCACGAGGTACAGCACGCTGACTCAGGGTGATAAATTGTGCAGAATCAAGGCCAGAAGAAGAGGGATATCGACAACTCAAACTTCTCTTAATGCAAGCACAGGGACATCTACCGTTGCGCAGTAAGTGTACATTCATTGTAGCTTCTTGCCTTTTTGAGATTGGGATTAATATGCGTATCATGTTATAGCCCGTATTTGGGATCCCTGTTACAAACCAGAAGTCAAAAAGGAGCTATTACTACTCTAGTGGGAAATAAAGAAAGAGATCCCACCAAAAGGCTATTATCACGATCCACCGCAACGACAGTCGTGAAAAGGTTAAACAATTATTTATTTACCTACTTGTCTACCTATACGTTACTTTGTTTATTATTTTTCTTCGAAGTATTTTTCCATATCCTGTCTTTCTTCTTCCTCTCTCTTCCATGATACTATCCAATTATATTCTTATTTCCTTCTAAGCTGCGCATATACACCTATTAACACATGCTTTTAATATATAAGATCAATATAAAACAAGTTATATATTGTTATATTGCATGTGTATCCAAAAGAAATAGGGTCTCTTTATCTTAACTGGATATTGTAGAAACAGTTGGTTGGTCAACAGTAGCTGTGATCCATCTTCCTGCCGTATTAGGTCTAAACCGGCAACACAGAGCCATAACATCAACAACAATACAACTACCACCAATCCCGTTACATCTTTAACCGTATCAAAACCAGTGAGAAGGGCGAAACGTACCTCCTGCATGGCTCCACAGGCCCACGCTACAAACTCGTCTGCCAATCATTCAGTACCGCAACCGCAACAACGCATGAATATGATCCTCAGGTCGGCAGACCGAGTTACTCGCTATTCGCTCAGGCAGTAAGTCAATAACTGTCTCTGTTTCTCGAATTTGGACCTCAATTTACGATTGTGCAGTTCTTTCGTCCTTGCTTGTTTGATGTATAAGTAAAAAAAAACTTTGCAATATTCTCTCTCCTCTGCCCCGCTGATTGCTTCTGATTTTTTAGCTTTGCTTCGTTATCATCGTGCAATATTTTCCATACACGACTTGTCCACTTATATTTTCATCTTTTATATTTCTCATCACTTATCGCCATAAGTATTAGAGATAAAATTTATGAGGCTTTATAGATTTACATCTGTTAACAGTCACATTTACGAGTATCTTCAAAATACTTTATAACATTTCTCTATATAAATTTACAAGGTTCTGTAATCATCTCTTGTATATAAGTTTTAAACTGTTTTACTCTTTTATTAATTTTCAAAGAGGGAAGTTATTTAAAACACCAAATTGTGTATTACAATTGTAGAATTGTTCTGTGTCATTGATTTCGATTAATTGATCCATATCGCATGTGGCATGACTCTTTTTTAAGTTTTGTTTCTATTTTGGTTAGCATGTATTACATACTACAAATCTTATATAGGCCTGGGCAAATATCAGTTCAGAGACGTGTCACATATAAGTTGAAGTTTATATTATATACATATATAGTCCAGGCCTCGTAATGATGTTGCATTTAGTGCTTATGCGATAAAAAGTAGCACCAGAGGTGGCTAACGAACCGACCCCATTTATTTCTGTGACTTGCAGTGCGCGCACAACAAAAAGTTATAAAAGTGCATTTATCAGATGACTAACCGATATTCCCAGTGGCGTTGGGGAGGACTGTCAGGTAACTGGAGCATCTCACCAGCGCCGAAGATCTCATCGCTTAAACCCCATCATTCAGTAAAAAGCACCTCACTCTGATCTTCAATCCTTCAACTCGAGCAAGTTTTGCCCAGGCTTTTATATCAAATCAACGAAGATCAAACTATATCTCGACAAAATCATCAACACTGCATTATTGATTAATATGGTTTTGTCATATCTGCATCATGGGATATGAATTTGTTGCAGTGATATTTAATATATAGCTTACACGGCTTTTAATTGTTCTTCCATATATCAAAGTATTGCGATGCGTTGAATGTCTGCAAAAAAAAAAAGAAAAAAAGGGAAATCAGATTTCTGTTAATATCATCTTTCCACTGTAACTTTCTGCTGGTCAGAATAAGCACACTTGTAGATATATATTTTCAAAAATCACTTCAACTATACATATAATTTCTGTTTTCAATAATTTTTTCAATCATTGTTGCCAAAATGTTAATTTAATGCTCACGTGTTCTTTTTGGAACTTAGTTGAGTATATATTTTACGATAACGCAGTTTAAAAGTACACTCCTTTGTTTTATTTAACTTTATGAAAATGTTAAAAACTATAGAAACATTTAATGATTATTTTTATCATTTTAATGAAATAAGATGTATTATTTCCCTCTTCCGTTATAACTATAATTAATGTACAGTTCTTGTTACTGTTAAAAATCTAAAAGGATCAACTTTATTGCACGATCAAGGAAGGAGTGTAATGATAAATTTCTCGCCTATGGCCTCAAAATTAACATTTATTACACCTTTCGTTGTATTAAAATATAGAAGTTTTTATATACTAGATATTATATATACAGATTTTTATTGTTATGAAAAAATTATTGCGGACCGAAATTGGATAGTTAACAAGAAATAAAATTTGTTTACCATTATCGTGACATAGATAATGTAGTATGTTAGAAAAGCATTGTGCTGTAACTCGGTCGGTTTAAAGCAAATGTTAAAGAGCTCGAAACACTGTAATTATGGCACTTGTTGAAATTTTACTTTTGTTGCTTTGAATTTGGACAAACGCATTAGATCAAGTGTTGCAGTACCAATGTATATATTATATGTGCAGTTTATATACGATTGATGCAACTTATTTTGCCAGCGCGATGTTATTTAGTATATTTCCCGCTAAGTATATTCATTAAATTATAGATCTGTTGAAAAACCTGGTAATTTATATATACATACATCTTTTATTTTTAGTCGAAACCAATTAAATGTAGATTTTATAAATACGCTATGCGACTTCGTATTATGTTTTTCTCTTTTTTGTATACATTGATAACGGTAATTTTAGCAACATTTTATTAAAGACAGAATTTTAATATGTAAGAAATATATTATTTATCTTCAGGTCTTTTTGTAAACATATCGTGAATACAATTTAATTCCGTAATTTAAATAGACATTTTCACGCAATTGCTTCAGCGAAAAACATATCAAAAATGTGATGAAACTATAATAATACAAATTATAATTATTATATATACTGAGAATTTTTGTGCACTGAAAAGAAAAGAAAATTTTAATACCATTTTACATCAAAGAAATCAAATAATATCCTCGATGACGTTTCATCATATGATTCAAATTGGCCTGAAGATAAGATGACGTGATATTGGATGTCCTGATGTAGAGCACCCTGTAAATTGTATATAACAGTATAAGTTGATTATGAAATATTTGGAATACCTTTAAGTACAAGATTAAAATTAAGCTGTTACTCTTACGAGTACCTAAGCTTTTCTGTATATATTAAGTTACTTTAACAGTCTCGAGAATTGCACTCTGCGATCATGTAACAAAACGTGTAAACGTTTGAGAAAGCTCCACTTTTGCAGCGCAGTATTTTCATTTATAGTAGAAAGAACAAAAGTTTTTACATACAGTGAAACGATTTATAATAAAACTATATTTATAATTGCTGAATAATTTTATTTTAATGAAAATCACATCAAGGTGTCCACGACAAGATATAAAGAATTACATGAAAAAATGAAACTTAAACAACGGAAGTTTATGGTAGAATGATGTTTGGTATAGAGTTTTACATTCGATTAATACAAATTGTTATGACAATTAATTAGATTGCAAAATTTAGAATTTTATTTTTATATATCTTTTATATATCGTACCTTGATGTGATTTATATATCTCTATACTCGACGGTTTGCGTATAGACATACAGTCTGTGTCTTGCTACGCGTACACTTGGCGTGTGACACTACCGGACCACTTGCTTATGTTATACATTAAAATAAAATTTATTTAACAATTATAACTTGTTTTATAATCATGTTACAATACAAACACTTCTGTTTTTCATATACTGTATATCTGCATATAAATGTATTGCTTTAATGGATCATATATCATTGAATGTGTACAGAGATGTTCGCAATAATTTATTAAAACTTAATAAACAATAGAAGATCTCTTAAATCCCACAGCTTAAACTTTGCTTTTTAGCTTTCTCTGTTTGCAACAAAACTAATTAAAAGTATTAATTTTTTTATGTAATATTTCTTTCTAATTTTGTATTTCTAACTACCTTAGGTAATCAAAAATAAAATTCTTTTCGTGTCAGTTTAAAAGTTAAAAACAGAAAAAATATGTTTCAAGATATAACAAAATTTTAAGTTATATCGCCAGAAGTACTTGCTTCGGCAGTACATATACTAAAATTGGAAGTTATATCGCCGGAATCTGTCCTAGGCAACAAAAAAGAATTTGTCAATTTTGAATATCAATAGATAATATAGACGGCAGTCGTAAGAGTAACTATAATTGTTGTTTATAGACGTTGTCACGCTATATCTAAGATAATTACAATAAGATTTATTATTTTTTATGAAGTTGATATGTAGAATTAAAAATTATAGACATGTCAATAGTAGTTTTTAGTGCAGGGCTCTTGATTAAAACACACACATACAAATGCTTTTACACATATGTATGTAGTTTATACAGTAGATTATATATAGATTAGCTGTGTATTCATTTATACAATGAATATAGAAGTCATAACTTTTTGCTAATTATAGTGTTTAAGAACACATTGTTATTAAAATGTGATGTTTAGAAGAATAAAGTCTATTCGCCATTAGGTTGCAAAAAATTTGTAGAGAACAATTATTTATTTTCGAATAAATGCACACCGTGTAAATTTATAAAATTATGGCAAATCTGCGAAATTTGGATGTCTATTAAGAATTGTGAATTATGTATAGCATTTCTTCATTGTGTAACGTTCAATTGTAATGTTACGTTGTAACGAGACCATTATTTCTTAAAGAATACAATCATTGTCATCAAAATAAATCTGAAAGTGTACATAAAAATTATAGAATTATACAGTAGCCGATTTATAATGATCACTGTGTTGCATAGTAACATTACAAATGCAACATTACTAATCACAATGGATTAGTAAGGGAAAAATATAACTTAAAAATACAAAGATGTCTCTATTCATTACAAAAGTGACACTTATTGTAACATTAGATTAGGATGCGAGATATCGAAAGAGAGTATTATTTAACATTGTATACTTACTCTTTGTAAACTTTTTTTATAATTACGAACTACTAAATGTGCTACGTATATAAAAAATTATAAAGTATGTATAGATCACACAGTGAACTTTATATTGTGTTATATACTCAATAAAGAATATGTATTTTATTTATCTTGTTTGAATACCAGAGATAACACAAAATTATATATTAATGTTATTCACGCTCCTTTAATAGTGCAGGGAATGCGGTTTATGAAAAGAGCTGCTGCTGATTTATAGACCACTTTATTTTCATAAAAAAAAGTAATTGAATAGTCTTCGGAAAAATAAAAAAAACTTGAAAAAAATAATACGGTACTTTAAAACTTAAAAAATAATACGTTACTTTAAAACTTGAAAAAATAATACATTACTTTAAAACTTAAAAAAATAATTCGTTATTTTATTAAAATGTAGATGCAAAACGTAGCTAATGCTACCCAGTGACTAGCAAATCCAAGTTCAGCCCACTTGTTGATCGTGTGGCTATAACTGTATCCGGTTTCTTGTAGATCCGATATATCAAACATGAGACCTAAGTAAGCTAAATGGAACATCGCCAATCCCGAAAACATCAAGTTTGTCACAAACACCAACCAGCAGTTATAAGAGTTGTATTTGTGCGCGCATTTTTGTTTGGAGCACTGTTTGGACGCGATGCAAGCGTCGAAGGTGTCGGCGAGTATCGTCCTGAGCTGAAATTCCACATAGGTATAAAATCCTAGACTAAGTAACACCGCCGCCAATTGAAAGTTCAACCCGTGCAAAAGAGAGCTTGTCAGATACGTGACGGTCACCGCGCCGAACTTTCCCAAATTTTTGATACTAGGACGGAAGATATCTGCGAAAAATAAAACACAGAAATTGGTTTAAATTCCATTTCTATCCTTCAATGGTTCTTCCATCGCAAGATTTTTCGTCATTATAAAAAATTCTCTTTTGAATTCAGATTTTATACTTAATTGAATTACTTTCGTACTTACATGTTTTCAACCAGTAATGCATCGGAATGTTCCAATAAATGACAACCTGAACAAGCGAGCGTGGAAACTCGATATACAAGGGCTTAACTATCGTCGATGACGAAAGAGGAAATCCTCCCAAGACTAACAGTGCCGAAGCTAAGTACGAAACGAAGTAGTGGGATGTTCTGAAGGACAATGCGTCTCTGTACGCCATTAACCACCTGAAATGTGAAAAGACCATTTTTTTCATATAAAATAAAAATGATCGAATATTCATGAGAAACTCTTTTAAATTCTACATACTAACTTCCAAGAGTTATCAACAAATATCCATTGCGTCCAACAATTTGAAATGCTCAGAAAAACGAAGGAAAGGAAGGCAAACCCCATACCGCATATTATCGACCATTTTATCTGCAACGGAATTTTATTATTAAATCGCTACTTTAAACTTAGAAATTATTTTAGAAAGATAGTAATAAATATGAGATATGCTTATTTACGAAATACCTGATGGTTGTTGGAGCAACGCAACGACAGGTAATCTTTAAACGATACCCACGGTCCGAATAAGCAAGTCACACCGCAGAACATGTAACCCATGAAGCTGTAAACGTCTGGCAAGTTGTTCGAATCGCTCGTATCAATGGCAATGCTAATCGCTTTCATTACCATGGTCATAATCACACTTCGTATCTTATGCCATATCACTGGCTCCATCGAAAATTCACTGTAAAAAATAAATTCAAGTATTCCTTATCTGCCAAAGTACAAACACAAATTGGTCTGCAATATCATGTATGAAACATACCAATATGCAATTATCAAAAGGGATGGTAAAAAGATCCCTGCGCCTCTGTGCCATCTTTTTGGCACGTGTAAAACACCGTAGGAAAATAGAACGAATACTATCAATACTATTAAGGACTCCTGCACGTAATGCTGGATAATATATAAACCTATAATGACTGACAGTATATGAAACACTTTGTGCGATATGTATTCTGGAACGTAAAACAACACAGATTATTTGCTACAGGAACAATCTGGTAGAAAGTAGAAATACAATTCATATTAACATCTTAAATATAAATATAACAAATGAAAAGGATCTTACCGGTGTGAATAAACAGTCTAAATAAGATTGTGCTGCCCAACAAAGGCAATATGTAATGTCCTGTATCATGGAGACTAGGACTGAGACAATACTGGTACAATTCACGTAGAGTTTCCTTCTCCAAGTCAGCATAATCGTAATCGTATTCGACACTGTTGTGCAAGCAATCGTAGTCCAGACAGTCGTCCTCGTCGTCGTAGAAAACTGTGGTGCCTGCATCTTCCATCGCAGCAAGAATAGAAATAACTGATCAGCATAGCACGCTGCGAGACTACTTGTGCTCTGTGTTCGGCCTGTTTTTTTTTCCCCACCGAGAAAAGAATATATGTTAAATCTGCAAAATTTTACGGAAGAAAGAGAAAATCCATGGATGAGAGATAAATTAATTTTGAATTAAAAAACAATAATGTAAACATGTCTGCATGTTTGAAATAGAAAACGTAATCGTGTCGTCCGAGTATAAATAAAAAAGAGTTTAAGGATATGAATGGACATCGTTACACCTCCTCACAATACTTTCACACATACACGACGTAATGAATAATTACAACAAAAGTAATAATTTCCTTGTTTTCAAAACACATACCCTGCCGAGCGTCGCTCGATGTACATAAATACCGACGAGGTTACCGCCGGCGAGGTAGTATCGAGGACTGCCAATATATAGCGCTGAGAAAAATCTTAATTAATGAGGGCTTCGAGGATAATAGCAGAACACCATAATTATCGATCATCTGAACCGTATGGAAATCAGGTCCTTGATTATTGTAGTAGGTAATAAATTTATATTTATTTGATATTACATTATTATATTTATTATTACATCTTTTTGAAAAATATCTCTTAAAGATGTATTTTTAAAGATCATATTGTTACGTGCGAACACATCTTTGACTCACAGCACTTGCTCTGTGCTAAATAAAATTTTATATAAAACGACAGTTGTCTATTTCATTAAAACATTACGTCACGTATACATACATATATATATTTATATAAATATTACTATTCCTAAATTTTTTTACAAGCAGTTTCCTCGAAACTAATGGGTATTAGTTTAGACATTATTTTGGAGAGAAAAATGTTAGTAAAAAATTTTAGGAATAGTAATGGTAAATGTCGCTGGAAAGATGATAGATAAAGCGAAATTCTAACAATTCTTGTATAGAAAAGACAACTTTTTAAGACAAGGAGAGAAGAAATTGAAAATGAGTCAACGTGACAAGAATTTCTTAAATTAAATCTTTATTTCAATTAAGATTATTAGCTTCTGTATACAAATTTCTATCTTATACAGTATTTACAATAAATAAAAAGTGTAAAAATATGTGGAACATAAAGACACTTAATTTTATAGACTTCTAAAAAGGCTTGCAAGCGTACATCTTAATATTTAATTCTTCAAGATGAATGAATTCTAAGAGGGACATTCATATCTTGTCGTTATTGCAATAAAATCGAGTGAAATTTGTATGACTGATTTGCAGTTGTATGCACACCTTACTCTATGTGTTCTATTGCACAGTCTAAATTAGCTTTAATGATTAATTATATTTTTATTTTAAATAAAAATATAATTATAAATTATTTATCTTATTATTATAAGACCTTGGCAACATCAGTTACACGTTAATTTTTCGCAACATCGCTTTCAGGATGACACGCGAATTTATTTGTATGACATTATTTTATTTTTTCTGAGAAAAACTGATAAGCATTACGTGACAGCAATCTACAAACTCCTTTCGTGATTATATTGATACACGAGACTACAAAGGCAGCAAGCCTAAGCTTTGTAGACATATTTGCGCTGCTTCTGCCTTTGCTTGTTTTTTGTTTGAACTCGCTACGCTCGGCTTATATTCGATGCCGTTTACCTTCACCTGTAATAGATTTATAAGTGTATAAAGAATATATATCTACTAAATGTAAATATCAAATTATTTATAATAATGCTCACTTTGAAGAGAAAATTCTTCCTGTGATCCGGTCCAGATTCAAAACACAACTCGTAAACTGGCGCTCCGAGTTTTTTCTTTGTGCAATATTCTCCTAAAAGTGACACTGGATGTTTGCCTGGAACAAAATAATTGCATAGATAATCAAATTTAGTTTAAATTTATTTTTAGAAATATATACATGCAAAATAATCTAAATTATGATATACCTTCCAATGTTTTGATTGTTGGTACTACAGGCTTTGCAGCTTTGCCAGGTTTTTGCATGATATCCTGCTCGGAAACCAATCCTTTCTTGTCCAATTTAACCTCCAGTTGTAACGGTTCCAAGGCCCCTTCTTTATTCTTGCCTAGACCCTCGCCAGGTCGCCAGCCCATCTTCTGCAGTAACGCCATACCCATCCCACCCGATAAAGGCTGGGCTGATAGTAATTGATCCTAAATAATTTGTCGAATTAGAAGAAATAATGAATTTGTGTAGAGTTGCATCGCGCGAATACATAGTATTAAAATATAGTTGTTGAGTTACAATATAGGTCCTATATTCTTTGGAGTCAATATATAATTGCTAAAAGATATATGTATATTAGATGACATAATTCAAATAAATAAACTCATTAAGATAGTAAGACAGATATATTATTCTTTCAGGGAGATATATATTATTATTTCAGTTATAGTCTGAGAAAAAACCTCTCTGTGTGTTGAAAATATAACGATAATCTGTTACACAACTCAAGAATACTTACCAAACAGATACATACCGAACAAATAATAATCTCTGCACCGGGCTGCCGAAGTTGTTTTTTCTCTGACGTAGCTATATGCCTGTAACAAACCCTCAGGTGGATGCAGACTAATGCTAAATATCCCAGCTTTATGATTAAGAGACAATATACCGGCTTCTGGTGAAATCCTATAGTAGGAAGCTGACGATAATTAGCAATAATCTCACAAGAGCTCATTATCTCAGTCAAAATTTATTATCTGCATAATACAATTTGCGATCAATTAAATATTTTAGATTAATATGTATAATGTCCTAATCTTTTCCGTATTGCTCTTGTTATAAAATTTATTGCTAGAATAAAATAAACTTATTAGTAAGATTCTGATTTTTTTTTTTTTTTGAAATCTTTGAAATTTAATTTTCATTGAAATAATAATGCTCCTGTGTCCATGCAGGCACAGAATCCACTCCTAAATAAGAAATAGTCTGTGCCTACAACACAGTCTCTACTAACATCAACGTTAACTTTTTATTGATTCTAGTGGAGACCGTGCCTGAAAACTTGTTACAGGCAATATCGGTGTATCAATGGTGTATTTACTAAACAATGTCAGGTCAAAGTTACAGCTCGATATTAACATGGAATATTATCATTATAAGATATATTGAACCTGTTTCATTGTTTAGTAAGAGACAGGAAGAGAAGGGAATTATAATGAATGTACGTTAAGATGCATTTATATGCCACATACATAAAATGTTGTCTTAATGAAAATTTTAATTTTAATTATGCCACATTTTTGAAACTACAGATCATTATTAAACACGTATGTGTTATACAAATGAAACTTTTTTGTAGTGTATAACAATAATTTGTGTTTGATTTGAAAATGCATCGGGCATCGGGAATTTTTTTTTGGTTTGGTTGATGTAAGGATGAATTTTGTGAAACCGGAATGGAATAAAATGTACAATAGTAACTTTACCTTACGTGCCCAGGCTTGATAACCTGAAGACAATTCTGCAGGTGTAAGTACTTTAACCCCTGTACTACCAGTAAACTGACCTGGTATCTGCTTACTTTCAGCCCAGGTTTTCATCTATAATATCATAAATAGATAATTTATGTATACATAAAACTCATGTTATTTTATGATAATCTATAATTGCCTCTCTTTACCTCATTTTGTGCCCGATGCATTGCATTCAAAGCGCTTACGTCATTTGGATTTTCCCTTAATTTTCTTATAGCTGCTAACCTTTCAGACACTATGGAGCCAATATCCATAGTCTGTAATCACAGTCGATACATAATCTTTTTATTAAATGATGACTGTGTAATTAATTTATCGATATATGATACGCTTTCCATTTTATTTACCTCTGTCGTTGTTGGAAAAACAGTTTGCATAGGCTGTGTAGGTTGCACAGGCATAGGTTGCGTAGGTTGCACAGGAGGCGGTGGCATTACAGTCGACAGTGTACTTGTAGAAGCTGGTACAAATATCTTTTTTGGTTCCGGTTTCTTTGGTGTAACAGGTACCCATTCGTTTTCTGAGGGCAAATATTGTATCAAGTGGGTGCATTGGAACAAAGCCACGAATTGTATCTTAAAAATACCTACCGGTTCTTCTATGATGTTGTCCACTGGAGACAGGAAACTGCAATCGCAACTGGTTTGACGTTTCAGCTGTTTTTTCTTGAAACGTTCTTGTTGGCAGCTGTTTCGCATCCTAAAGAAGGGAAATAAAGTTTGTTTTAAACTTTCATGTTTATATTCGTGAAATGAGATTTGTAATCGATAATACAATGGATTATCGATTACAAATCTCATTATACCAACCTTAATATTCATTATAATAGAACTAGGTCTTTCTTTTAAGAGAAAAGGATGATGAAATCCCTTTTCAGATTCACTTTCTTCATCTTCAGAAGAAATGCTAGACAATTCACCTAACGCTTCAGACTTGGATAATGATTTACAAAAATCTGTGAAAACATAATATTACATAAGTAATTAATTATATAATTAATTAAAAACAGATTAACAGAATATAATAGAAATTATTATAAATGTTATAATTGTAACATTAAAAAAAAAAAACAGATTATATATATATAAAATCACTGATAAAGTTAATGCAAACGAAAAAAGTTACCTGTGAGTTCGTCCACTGTTTTCCCGCCAGATTGTATAGCAGCAATAGCTTTATTTTGCTGGACTACCGACAGAGTTCCTTGTTTTATCATGCTTATAACATTTCTCCTTGCGATTTCTAAAAGTTTCTTCTTGTTAATCTCTATTCTCTCCCTAAAAAAAGAAAATATATTACGTACACAAGATTGAGACGAACGTTATTGTATTCTTAAATAATTTAATGCAGTATTAACTTTCTCTCCCTGCTCGCACTTCGACCTCGCGCATATTTGTCTTTATTTTCACTGTGACTTCTGTATCTGTGTCTTTCCCTGCTTCTGCCCGAGTCTCGTCTTTCACTGCTTCTATTCCTTTCGCGTCTTTCTCTGCTTCTGCCTCTCTGTTTTTCTCTCCTGTCGCTCCTACTGCTATGCGAGCTGTATCGTGTCCGCGATCTTGATCTTCTGTCTTGTGAACGACTGTCCTTATCTCTTGTGCTTCTGCAATTTAAATTCTTTATGTAATCACTACCTATATAAATCTTTCCTTTCTTTACACTATTTCTGACCTTTTCCTCTCCTTCTCTTTCAAGACTAATCTAAGATCATTTTTTGAAGTAACCGATCCTCTTGTCGGACTAAACATTTTGCTTCTTAGTCTATCTGTACTTGGGCTGAACGATAACGACCGATTCCGAGGCGGTGTAGGACTCAAAGTAGGCGTCCTATTATTGTTGCTGCTGCTGTCAGATAGCTCGCCGTCTTCCATTCTCGCGGCTTTTGCCTTCTGCTTGTTTTCTATCGCTTTTACCGTTTCACTATAAACGGCACTATTCTTGAGATCCTTTATCAATATTTTTCCTTGAGAAAGCTGCTTTGGTTTTTCTGTTTATAGAAAAATATCATTTATATTGTACACATTTTCTCCTTTTTATATATATATATTTTTAATTATCAATTATCTATTTCTTAATATCATTTATTACTTTAGAAAATAATTCGTAATATTATTAACAGCAAGGAGTACACACCAAGAAGTTTAGGTATTACTGGCTCATCAGATTCGTCATCTACCTTCTTCGACATAGGAGGTAATTCAGGACTGCCAAGATTATCCAAGAGTTTGTCCGTTGTATCCGTATCTTTCTTTACATCGTCTGATTTTCTCTCGTCATTTGTATTCGTCTTTTCTGACACGTCAAGATGAGATTTTCCATCATCATATTTGATGCTTCCTAAATCATTGTCGTCATCCGTCTTTGCTATCTTGGCCTTAGGTCCCAAGTCGGACGATTTGCTGGAAACAGAATCACGCCTCCGCTTGGACTTCTTCTTGTGCTTCTTCTTCTTCTTGACACCTGTTCAGGACAGGCAAAGAAGTGATTATGTCGTCGTACGGTGTCAAGGTGATATCTAATGCGAATTGTTACCCTCTGCATCGCTGTTATCCGAGGAATCGTGCTTCGACTTCTTCTTGTGCTTCTTCTCCTTGTGTTTGTGTTTCTTCTTGGCCTTTTTCTTCTTCGTTTCAGCCTTATCCGGCTCGGCGGCGGTCTCGTCGACGTCGCCATTCGGCACCTGCTGGTCGTTGTTCAACGGCGACGCAACGCCGTCGTCCGGCGCGTCGAAGGTGCTGAAGAGCTCCGTGAGGATCTCGTTGGACGATTTCTCTGGTATCCCGGGCTCCTGCTTGATCTTCACGCCGTCGACGCCAACGGTCGTGATCAGATTCGCGATGTCAAATAAATCTGTCATCGCGTTATTCCGCTAGTAATTGCTTACTTATTTGCGCTTATCGCATTCCCGCGCCAATCCACCGAAGTTGTTTTTACTTGCTTTGCGAGGAGAGAGAAATTCCGCGAACACCACAGCGAAGCGAACACTCCAAGGAACTCGAACCTCGAACTAACCTCACTGACGTGTTTGTGTAGGTAATCGATTGAAATTAGATTTTAAGGTTTGTTCTTGTAACTTCTCAACTTTTTGCACTTTTCATCATTTACGTCTCTCTCTGTCTCTCCGATGCTAAACTGCATACCATGAAGTTACTTCATGCTGCATACTTATTCCTTTCCAAGTGCAGAAAGTACAGCATAGTGCAGCTGTCAGGCACGAACCAAAAGTCTGTCAAATCAAATTACGCGCGCACTGCGAATAATTGCAAATTAAAGATTTATTTCATTAATCTCCTTGTTCCGAACGGTTAAATTCTAATCTTTAATTAACAGTAATTTACACTCATATCGCTATCGCTATCGCCTCGCTGAGATAGAAAGAGATCGAAGGGAGTATACTCGTGTGCACTCGGGTGACGTTTCCGAACACAGCCCTGAATTTCAAATTCAACCGGAAACGCGCGGCGACACCTGCGCGGGCAAAACAAGAACGACCGGTAGCGGTTTAAAAGTTAACGTTCTTTTTAAATCTCCCCTTGTAGCGTCGCCCGTCGCCAAGCGTCGCGTCCATTTAAACCACGCAGTCGCCTCGTGAGGGATTCACGCGGCATTGGCAGTATTGGCACTTGGCACGCTGATCGACGCGTATCCCACGTATCCTAGGCGTCGACAGAAGCTGGCTCGATAAAATTGGTGTTTCTGCAGTTTCAGCCGGTTATTTCTCGGCCGCGTTGATTGTCTCTCGCCGACGCGCTCGACGCTCGACATTCGTCCGTCGATTCTCATTCTCGGACCGTATTTCAGAGCTTTTCCAGCGGCCGGTCGTGCGCTCCGAGGACACGCAGCATTCACCCGTCATGTCACACTTGAGATTCATGAAGGAGCTTGATAATCTGACCCGCATGGACGACGCGATCAAAGGTGCGGTCCCACGATGGCAAAAGAAATGCATGGAGACGTCGAATTTGAGGTAACTGTCTTGAATTTCATCAGGGATCTTATCGGTAATCTAATTCAATTGATAACTCAATTTATACATGACTTTTAAACGTCGAGCGAAATCATCGAATTCACGTGCAGACACATCTGCTTTGCCTAACGCGAGAATTGTCTTCCACCATTTCAGTGTGAATATCAGCTTGAACTCGTCGAAGAAAGTTACGGGCTGCTCTTTCACCAGCAGTACATCAGGGAAGACCCCGACAAAGAGGAGCGACTGCAAAACTAAGAAAACTCCCTCCAAATGCACCAAAAAATCGCCAAGTAAGATGCCTCATGTTTATACGTTGCTAACGTATAAGGACTTGAAAAAAAGAACGAAATTTCAATTGCCTCTCACAGGTCGAGCTACCACCCCAGCCAAGACGCCCAACGGCGGTGACAGATTCATCCCGTCGAGAGCCACAACTAATTTTGAATTAAGTCACTTCAAAGCGAGTATCGTTTTCGTAACAAAATTTCAAGATATCTCGGTATGTTATAATTTCATAGTACGTTTATATACATCGTTCTTTTTTCTACTTCAGATTCTTCAGCAACAGAATGCCGAACAAGATAGAGACCGAGCCGACAGAACGAGCCCCACGAAACGGGAGATGCAGCGTCTCATAGGAGAGAATCTTCACGGTGGCGACATAAACAATACGAGGGTTTTGTCTTATCAGGTTAAAGCACCAGCGCCGCCGGAAGGATATCAGAATCCCCTCAAGGTCCTGTACAGTCAAACTAAGACGCCGGCTAGCGTCAGAGCTTCCACGAGATACATACCGCAGGCCCCTGACAGAATATTGGACGCGCCTGAAATTATCGATGATTACTGTAAGCGACCTGTTCTCTTGCGTTTCTCCTCTCTGAAAAAGACGTGGCAGGATGTATGAATAAAGATATATGATATTTACAGATCTAAACTTGGTGGATTGGTCGAACAATAATATCCTGGCCGTGGCGTTAGGCGCTAACGTTTACTTGTGGAACGCCGGAACTGGTACTATAGAGCAACTATTTGAATTGGAGGCGAACGACTATGTGTGTTCCGTCGCGTGGATTCAGGAAGGTCCATATTTGGCAGTGGGTACCACAGGAGGCAATACAGAATTGTGGGATTGCAGTCAGATGAAGAGAATGCGCGTCATGAACGGACATGTAGCCAGAGTCGGTTCTCTCTCCTGGAATTCTCATATACTATCAAGCGGTTGCAGGTACTACGCAGGATAGCTAATTTTCCTGATTATTCATAACTTCTAAAAGAAATTAATTAATCTTTATAAAAAATAATTTTGTAGAGCTATTGATTAAATTAATGAATTTAATAATAATTCAAAATTGAGTACATTTATATTGAAGATTTTAGAAAGCTCTGATCATTAAAATGGAAATGAACTATAACCGGCATTAAAACCGAAAATAAAAGCGTGAGATAGATTTAAGATTAGGACTAAAGCTAAATTATTATAATTGTTTCAAAGGTCTGGTAAAATAGTGCATCACGACGTCAGAGAACGAGATCATTTGATCGCGACTATAAACGCACACGCTCAAGAAGTGTGCGGCTTGAAGTGGTCGCCCGATGGGCAGTATCTGGCGAGTGGCGGCAACGACAACATGCTACAAATCTGGTCGTCGATCACCGGACAAAGGCACTCTCAGACACAACCCATTTATTCATTCAATCATCATCAAGCTGCCGTAAAAGCGCTTGCTTGGTGCCCTTGGCAAAGTAATGTACTCGCGAGCGGTGGCGGTACCGCCGATCGTACCATTAGGTTTTGGAATTGCAACGTAGGCAAGTTACCGGAGAGGCGATTTGTAAATTATAAATGAATATAATAAGTAGTAGTGAGAATGAAATAAAGATTGTAACACGTTATACGATTTTTTTTGTTTATAACAGGTAGCTGTTTGAATACGATAGACACCAAGTCTCAGGTATGCGCATTATTGTGGTCTACGAACTACAAAGAGATCGTTTCTGGGCACGGATACGCGCAAAATCAGCTGACAATCTGGAAATACCCGATGATGACGAAGATCGCGGAACTTACCGGACATACCAGTCGCGTATTGCATTTAGCCATGTCGCCGGACGGAACTACGGTGCTCAGCGCCGGTGCCGATGAAACGTTAAGGCTCTGGAAGTGTTTCCAAATGGACCCGCAGAAAAAGAAAGACTGTAGCGACGTAAAATCAGTCGCATCTAGACTTAAACAATCGATTCGATAAAATAGACACGTAGCGCATGTTGCTCAACAATTATTTCAGTATTTATTTTTCTAACCGATTATACGCGATCGGTATATAATATAAGAATAGAAATAGTATAAATATATGACAAGGTCGGTCGTTGTCGAACGTAGAAACATTGACATATCGAATTAATTGATGAAACGTCTATTTTATACAGAAGCAAAAAAAAGAATGTAAAACATTTTATATCAAGAAATACGGGTTGTATGTGGGATGCATGCGTGACTGGTGGAGAAAGTAGATATAATAATCTATTGTTAAATAATTTGAAGTACAAAACAAGCTTTGCATCAGCGTAGCATGTCTCTTTTATTACAATGAAAATTCAGGTTCTATACGGTACGATCGTTTCTAGAGTAATGATAAATGTAAGCAATGAATAAATAAATTTTTTTATAGTAAGTTGAGTCTTCTCGTGTCATTTTGCAATAACTATCTCGTTGCTAATTTTCGGTGAAGAAAAGTTTTTTTATTACATTTGACATTTTTTATAAATGTATAAAATCTAAATATATTTAAATCGTGTGTCTGATTCTTCGTCACTTTCAGTTTCGCGTACATATAAGAACCTTGCTATACCTTTCACGCATATGAGAGTAAAGAGGTGTGCTCTCGTCGTCTCCCCACTATTTTTTTCTTCCCACAAGCAAGCAAGCTTTGTATTCATCAGGGGCACCATACAGGTGTGTTTGGGTAGTGGTAAGTGGGCAGACCACCTGTTTGAGTCTAGCCGAATAAACTTGCTCGTAGTCAATATATACAAAATGAATAAATATAAGTGAAATAATAATTGATAGACGTGTTATAATTCATGATATTAGTGCGGAAAAATATGGTACTTGTTTTATATTTAATATTACAATATTGTATATGTGTATAAGTTCAGGTTTTATTTATAAAATGGTTGCAGAGTTGGGTATTGTGAAGTAAGGATATTTTTGACGCAATAATTTTCAACGGAATATGAACGAGGCAGAGAACAAGAGTGCTTTATTAAAATCCAAATGCAAACAGCCGTACCCCGCGGATATCTGCAACGAAGATGATCATGACTGGTGGGCAAGTGACAGTGGTTCCAGCACAGGATCATATTACTCGGACACCGGCAGGTAAATTCAATCAGGCACTTTGAAAAGACACGTTTCTGAAACGATTAAATGTAAATGCAGCTCTTTGGTTGAATGGGAGTCGGAGATCGGACCCACCGGCGAGGTATTCTACATAGAATCCGCAGAGGAGAGTCTGCTCGAGAATCCCACAACTTCGGAGGGTAAGAGCGAGAGTCCTCAACCTGAATTAACTCGTCGCCGTAGCACGAGAGCCGGCAAACTGTTCCGTCTTATCAGACGCAAGGAGAGCAAGCGTTGGAGCACGAGAAACAAAAGGATCAACAACAGCGCTGCAGCGAATAGTACAGCTGCTCAGGAGAAAGGAGATGGAGGCAAGGAGGTCAAATTTCAAGATTTCCAGGTATTGATTGAAGCATCCGATGCAACAGTGATAAATTAATGTTTAAAAAGAAATTAAAAGTAAACGATTTTAAAGCACGCAAGCTAAGAGTGAGATTTAGCTGTAATCTAATTACAAAATCTAATCTGACAAATAAAACGTATTACAAAATTTGCTTTTTGTATCTATTGATGTACGTCTGCAATAATCAGGCAGGAGAAATTCGAGAAGTCACTTTGTGGGTCGATCCCGAGAGAAGACACAAGCTGGGACGAAGGGCAACCCTGTGCGAAGCGTACTTTGGTATCACTCCGGGTGCGTTCTCAGATAAAGTGAGAGTTATGGTGGCAGGATTTATACCCGATGGTGAAGCTATGAAGAACAGAAATATAAAAATCGGGGACTGGTTACGGAGTGTCAATTCGAACAATGTTACTTTCCAAAATTTAGATCGGATACTATCTGAAATCGCTGCGCCGTCAAATGTAAGATTTAATAAATCTCAGAATCAATGACGAGAGATGATAGTGATTAATATAAATTCATTGAGAGTTTGCGCTGCGTGTAATTATAATATAATATTTATATCTATTTAAATTTATATAAAATTTTTTAAGAAAAGATTTAAAAATTCTCTACTTACAGGTAACATTAGAATTGCAAAGAGTAGCTGGTGTTGATGTTACTGCAAAGCTATCAAAAGTAAATGAACCAAAAGTAATTAGTTTTCATACAAATACGACGGTAAGAGTGGTATTACATGAGATAGGATTTTACAGATGGTATTTTTTTTAGCAATCGATATTGGTCCAAAATCTGATCAATAAAGAGAACAGTAATTCTTTTATGGAATCTCTATTGGATTATCCGTTGGGCGTAATATATTTAAAAACTGCAGATCTTTCGGAAATGGGACAAGAATTACAAGGCGTGTTGTACACGTTTCCGCGATCCGAAACTAAGAACGTGCATTCATCTCTGTGCACGGCGAGAGGAGCTTTTATAACTCTTAACCATTTATTACCCAGTATAGTGGGTTCCCAGCCACTCAGGTATACTATACATGTATCTTAATATTATGTTTATCTATATAAAATATACGTCATATATAATATATATTTTCTAGTACAACTGTCTATGTAGGCGAAGAAGAAATGCATATTGCATACACATCTCGCGATGATGAATTACTTTTGATAGCTTTACCTGGCAAATGGTAAAAATTTTATATAAAAATACAATGCATGGAAGAAACATGGTAGCTACTTTAATATAAATTTTATCGATTTACTTTTTTGTAGTTGTACCTCTCAGGAGATTGTCAAGATTACAGAGGATATTGTCAGAACGTTAGAATTTACCTACCAGTCGCTAACAAAGTGCTTTACTTCCGTGGAAAACCAGTCCTCTTTAGATCATTTTTTCACGCTAATTGTGCATAGATTAACTAGTATCAAAGATTTCTGCAAAGATGCTGACGTTAAAAAGAATTCGACAAAGCCAGAAAATGGTACCGAAAGCGTGGAGAATTATAAATTTAGAAGCGCTTTTTCAGTCGCAAGTTTTGTACAGCTACCGAGAGATGCGCAAATTCAGATAGATGCTGCGTTAAGCGAGATGGAAGCTATGGATTACAGAGACTGGGTATATCGATACTTATTTCAACTGTATTTTAAATTGTCAAGAATGTGCTTATGTTAAACTATAAATACGTATCTATATCTAATAGACGCACATGTTTAACAGAATGAAGATCCTATGGATTGTCAAAGACTGTATACTATATTAGGGAGCTGCATTTATCACAAGTGCCACCTTCTGGGATCTCATTTGCCCCACGAAGACCTGATCGACGTACATTCGTTTCTAAGACACAACGGTCTGTTAAATCTGGTGAACCAGGAACAGGTGAAATGTCTGGTTCTGTGGAAACAGATTTATCCGTCGTCTTGCAATCGCGGAAACGTTGACAGCAACGACGGCAGCCAGTTATTAATACCGAATGGAAAATGGTTTTTATTGGTTGTCGGATATGGACATGACTTATTAGCGGTGCTATTGGAATCCGGCGGATGCACCGCAAAGTGAGCGTATATTATTTTTTATACACAATTCGAATGTTATTTTCTATTTAAATTTTATCATTCATATAGGTACAATGACGCGATAGGCCCGGATGTATTTTACGTGGAAGAAGCTCAAGAAACACTGAAGCATGTACAAAAAATAGGAGTCACAGTCTTGGCCTCAAAGTGGATTACATCGAATACCAGACCGGAAGTGATAACGTATGAGGAACATACAACGACGAAAGCGTCATCCAGCATAACGGAAAACCTATTTGGCTTGATAAAATCGTCCGACGCGCAAACTGTCCCGTCTAAGCAAAATGTCAATTCTACTATTAATAAAAAGCCGCAAGAATTGCCTTCTATCTTGAAGAAACGTAGTCCTGAAGAAAGTCCCGTGATCTCGGGTTCCGGTAAGTTGCAATAGACAGAAATGCAGTGAAATCACGACTCTCAAATATTTCTCATACCTTATCTTAGATTTCTTTGTCATTTTTTCAATATATGTAACGCAATATGATAACGCATTATACAATAGTTATTTCATTTCTTATACGAGTGTTATTTTACGAGTTACATTTGTCATGTATGTTTAGTATATTCCTTACAAACGTCCGAAGATTCGCTCAGCCAAGGAACAGGTGGTGTTAGCGAAATGAGCGACGAGGCGATGCCTATACTTGGAAGACGAGCAACCAGAGAGAAGATTAATTCGACATCGAGATATTCTGACGACAGCGATTCTGATATAGACATATATAAGGTAACTACCGCACAGTGATCCGAACAAGAGTATTTACAACAAAAAATTCATAACGAATGTTACAAATAACTAATACTAATATATTTACCGATAATTTTTTTCTTATAGAGCGATAGTAACGTAATCACAATGGATATATCCAATATACGAGAGAACTTATTAAACCAAGCGGAATATTTGATACCGCAAAAGTTAACGGCAGGCGATAAAAATTATTTGTATCATTACGTTCATTTGGACACGGTAGAAGGAATTCTTTTATCATCAATACCCATTCAAAATACACCGAAAGATAACAGAATTCTTGTTAACTTTAACAAGTGTGTGCATGTTATTCATAGACTGCTACATAATACAGTAAGATTTAAGACGTTAAATCAAGATATAGATAAAACAGCGATCAATAGAAGTTTAATCGCTGTTAAAGAACACGGTGTATTATTCGAATGGGAAAATACAGCTTTCTGGGTAATCGGACGCCTCTACACGAGCCCCCATCCGAAGGAGTTATATGTGTGCCACCAAGACTCCGCGCCTCAAAACCTAATCGAAATAGCCTTTCGATTACACTGCGTATAAAGAAATTACACGCATATTTGGTTTTACATAAATTTTCATTTTATTAAAAATCAGTTTTCATTATGTATGCAATAATGTATATCAATAATTTTTAACAAATTACACGTTTGATAATAAAAAATTAATTTTACAAAATTAGTTTTTATTAAATAACAATATTAAACTTTTATTATATTATTTATATAAAACTTTATATATTTCACATTTTGTATGTTCTTTGTTTCGTTGAAATTAACTGACTTTTTATTACATAAAATTTTTTATTTTTAAATTTTTTCTCGGGGACTTCTCACACAAACATATGCCCCAGCTATACTACCGTTATTATATTTTCGCCAAACACCCGTTGCTCTATCGTTTCCACTGTGCTCGAAGGTAATTCCTTTAAGACCAGGTCCATAATTCTTAAATACATGTGTAATCTGTGCACAACAAAGCATACAAGAAAATATAAATTGAAGATAGTATCCTGCGTTTATTTAAGTTTCCATTTATATAAAACCGTGAACTAATTTTATGGATACCCACTTTCAACCATTGATTCCGTTTCTTTCTCTTTATAACATCTCTAAATAGAAATTGATCCATTATTGTCTCGTCCTTACGATATAATGTAACTCTCAATTGATATTCTGCTGGACACTCCAATCGGCAGCCGTACCATTCGCTTACCTATAACATACATGACATTATACAATCCACAATCATATATAATTCCTATATATAATTTCCATCGCATAAAGCTTGGCGATACCTCTATAGGTGGTTGATAAGTGTCCAGAATATATGAATGGATCCCCTCGTCCCTCAGAATTATAACTTGTACCTTCTTGCAATTCTTATGAGTTGTTGTGAAACAGATCTGTCTGTCTTTGAACAGTGGTTCAGTTTGCGGCAGTTGCGGCATACCGACAGGTGGTTCCGCGACCATCCAAGGGGATTCGGTGACCAACCATCCGTAAGTCCTATCCCACGGAACCGTCGTATCCCAGTGGCGTAAAGACTCTGCGCCGGAATGATTCTTCACCAGGTTCCTCTCGTACGGCTTCTTCGTGCATGCGAGGTAGTATACTGTCCAGGGCATCTTATCGTCCCACAGGAATGGTTTGCCCAGCGTCCGCTCGGTCTTCTTGTGCCATACGTGGTTTATCAGCATCTTCCAGCGTTTGCACACCAACTGGCACCTCAACAGGGTCTTGCAGTCGGCGTGGCAGAATATCTCTATCAGTACTTCGGCCGGCAGGTACTTGTCACAGAGCACCAAACCGTTGTTGTCCTCCTCGTCGAACATCACGCGAGAACTCGAAAGAGTGGCACAAAACTGTCCCATTATCTGTCAACACACTTAATACTAATATATTTACCGATACTTTCTTACTATTTTTCTTATAGAGCGATAGTAACGCATATAATTACAATGAATATATACAAGATACGAGATAACTTATTAAACCAAGCGGAATATTTGATACCGCAAAAGCTAACGGCAAGCGATAAAAATTATTTGTATCATTACGTTTATTTGGACATGGTAGAAGGAATTCTTTTATCATCAGTACCTACCCATTCAAAATACACCGAAAGATAACAAAATTCTTGTTAACTTTAAAAAGTGTGTACATGCTTGCTACATAATACAGTAAGATTTATATAGGACTCTAGATTTAAGATGTTAAATCAAGATATAGATAAAACAGCGATTGATAGTAGTTTCGCTGTTAAAGAATACGGTGTATTATTCAAGTGGGAAAATACTGCTTTCTGGGTAATCGGACGTCTCTACACGAGTCTCCATCCGAAGGGGTTATATGTGTGCCACCAAGGCTCCGCGCCTCAAAACCTAATCGAAATAGCTTTTCGATTACACTCTATGTATAAAGAAAATACAGGCATATCTTGTTTTATATAAATTCTTATTTTATTAAAAATCAGTTTTTATTATATATGCAATACTGTATATCAATAATTTTTAACAAATTACACTTTTGATAATAAAAAATTAATTTTACAGAATTAGTTTTTATTAAATAGTAATATTAAACTTTTATTACATTATTTATATAAAACTTTATATATTTAACATTTTGCATTCTCTTTGTTTCGTTGGAATTAACTGACTTTTTATTACATAAATTTTTTTATTTTTAAATTTTTTCTCACGGACTTCTCACACAAACACATGCCCCAGCCATTTTACTGCCGTAATGTCCTGCCCAGAATGATCTATCCTTTCCACTGTGCTCGAAGGTAATCCGTCTAAGACCAGGTCCATAATTCTTAAATACGTGTGTAATCTGTACACAACAAAGCATATAAGAAAATATAAATTGAAGATAGTATCCTGTATTTAAGAGTTTCCATTTATATAAAACCGTAAACTAATTTTATGGATACCCACTTTCAGCCATTGATTCTGTTTCTCCCCTTCTAGAACATCTCTAAATAGAAATTCATCTATCATTTTATTGTCATTACGAAATAATTTAACTCTCAATTGATATCTTGCTGGACAGTCCCATCGGCAGCCGTACCATTCGCTTACCTATAACATACATGGCATTATATAATCCACAATCATATATAATTCCTATATATAATTTCCATCGCATAAAGCTTGGCGATACCTCTATAGGTGGTTGATAAGTGTCCAGAATATATGGATGGATCCCCTCGTCCGTCAGAATTATAACTTGTACTTTGGTGCAATGCTCATAAGACGTTGCGAAACAGGTCTGTCTGTCTTTGAACAACGGTTCAGTTTGCGGCAGTTCCGGCATGCCGGCAGGTGGTTCCTCGACCGTCCAACGATCACCGCCGTCGTAACTTATACCCCAGTGACGGAAAGACTCTTCATCGCCGGAATGATTCTTCACCAGGTTCCTCTCGTACGGCTTCTTCGTGCATGCGAGATAATATACTGTCCAGGGCATCTTATCGTTCCACGGGAACGGTTTGCCCAGCGTCCATTCGGTCTTCTTGTGCCAGACGTGGTTCATCAGCATCTTCCAGCGTTTGCACACCAACTGGCACCTCAACAGGGTCTTGCAGTCGACGTGGCAAAATATCTCTATCAGCACTTCGACCGGCAGGTACTTGTCACAGAGCACCAAACCGTTGTTGTCCTCCTCGTCGAACATCACGCGAGAACTCGAAGGAGTGGCACTGAACTGTCCCATCATCTGTCAACACACTTAATACTAATATATTTACCGATACTTTTTTTCTTATAGAGCGATAGTAACGCATATAATTACAATTGATATATCTAAGATGTGAGATAACTTATTAAACCAAGCGGAATATTTGATACCGCAAAAGCTAACGGCAGGCGATAAAAATTATTTGTATCATTACGTTTATTTGGACATGGTAGAAGGAATTCTTTTATCATCAGTACCTACCCATTCAAAATACACCGAAGGATAACAAAATTCTCGTTAAGTTCAGCAAGTGTGTACATGTTATCCATAGACTGCTACATAATACAGTAAGATTTAAGATGTTAAATCAAGATATAGATAAAATAGCGATCAATAGAAGTTTAATCGCTGTTAAAGAACACAGTGTATTATTCGAATGGGAAAATACAGGTTTCCGGGTAATTGGACGCCTCTACACGAACCCCCATCCGAAAGAGTTATCTGTGTGCCACCAAGACTCCGCACCTCAAAACCTTATCGAAATAGCCTTTCGATTACACTCTACGTATAAAAAAATTACACGCATATTTTTTTTTACATAAATTTTCATTTTATTAAAAATCAGCTTTTATTATGTATGCAATACTGTATATCAATAATTTTTAACAAATTACACATTTAATAATAAAAAACTAATAATAAAAAAAAAAACTTTATACACTTCACACTTTGTATGCTCATTGTTTTATTACATAAAATTCTTTATTTTTAAATTTTTTTCTCATGGACTTCTCACACAAACATATGCCCCGGCCATTTTACTGCCATAATGTCCTGCCCAATATGATCTATCCTTTCCACTGTGTTCGAAGATAATCCGTCTAAGACCAGATCCATAATTCTTAAATACGTGTGCAATCTGTGTACAACAAAGCATACAAAAAAAAATATAAATTGGAGATAGTATTTAAGTAAAACGTGAACTAATTTTATGGATACCCACTTTCAGCCATTGATTCAGTTTCTCTCCTTCTAGAACTTCTCTAAATAGAAATTCATCTATCATTGTATTGTCACGACGAAGTAATTTAACTCTCAATTGATATTCTGCTGGACAGTCCCATCGGCAGCTGTACCATTCGCTTACCTATAACATACATGACATTATATATAATCTACAATTATATATAATTCCATACATATAATTTCCATCGCATAAAGCTTGACGATATCTCTGTAGATGGTTGATAAGTGTCCAGGATATGTGAATGGATCCCTTCGTCCTCCAGAACTATAGTTTATACTTGAGTACAATGGTCATACGACGTTGCAAAACAGATCTGCTGTTTTTGAATAGTGTTTCAGTTTACGGCAGGTGGTCTTTTGACCCTTCATTGATCACCGCCGTTCTGAGTTAAATTCCAGTACTTCATATACAGCGCGCTGGAATGATTCTTCACCAGGTTTCTCTCGTACGACTCCCTCGTGCATGCGAGGTAGTAACTGTCCAGGGCATCTTATCGTTTCACAGGAACGGTTTGCCCAGCGTCTGCTCGGTCTTCTTGCGCCAGACGTGGTTCATCAGCATCTTCCATCGTCTGCATACTAACTAGCAGCTCAACAGGATTTCGCAGTCGGCGTGACAGAAGATCTCTATCAGCACCTTGACCGCCAGGTACTTGTCACCGAGCACCAAACCGTTGTTGTCCTCCTCGTCGAACATCACGCGGGAACTCGAAGGAGTGGCACTGAACTGTTCCTAGAGGCTCTTTACCTTGGAGACCTGCTGCGGATATGGGTACGAACCGGCGCGACACCTCCACGTGGCCCTCTCCTGGATTTTCAAGGTCCGAGGGGAAGATCCGGACACCGCCGCAACTGCGGTGCTCTTCGCGTTCCAAACCCTATCTCCCTGCTAGAGGTTTCCAGGGAACTCGAACGCTTATACAGAAAATCATCTGTCAACTGTCAAAACACTTGACACTGTTATAAACTTCCGTGACGCATTTGTTACACGATGCCGCCGGCACCCGGCGGTTATTTCGAGGTTTAAAACGACCGAGACGTTCGGTCGTCGAGTCGTCGAGGCGTCTCGCCGTCGTCCTCCGGTCTGGATTTCCGCGAACTTTCATCACCCGCATGACGCGAAAGATATACGATTGTTGTAGGTATGTACGTGATATCGCGAACAGCTGGCATCGCGCTCGAAGGAATAAAGCGACATTCCCTCGACGGGAAAGATTGCCCGGTGTCACTCGGGTTGAACGAGAGGATCGAGATATTCATGCTAAGGACGAAGCGAATGACCGCTGGTTACTTACGTTTGTCGCGCGTTTTCTCCGAAGGTCTATCCAGGATTTCAGGATCTTCGTGCAACGCAGGAAGCAGGCATGGCGTAAATCGATAATACGCCTAGTTTTGAGTCATAACGGATGCGCGAAGCGAATTCTGGGCGCTTTTTACACGTGATCAGTGTGACCACGTGACCTATATTATCTACATTTGAGAGAGAAATATGTCGATTCGTTCATAATATAAATACACGAAAAAAAATCCACATCACGTGTCCGACGCAAGGGACGCAAGTTGGTGTAGCTCTCGATTCTCGAACTCCCCTAAATTAAATTCCTCTATTTTCAAACAATCGAAACAAGCCTGAGTTTTTTTTTCACGCCGTTCTTGAAACGGAGTACTTAAGGAAGGAGAAGAAAACGTGTCACAATTATGAGCAATTTATGTTGAAAGTCCCTTTATTTCCTGTAGAATAGAATTGGCGTCGCAGTACAAAAACGCCGTGTCGCGCTTAGAGGAAATAGGTGCGCGGCTTCCGGACGCTGAACAGCGGCATGCGATTCCTGTGCTGGATTCGCTTCGGCAACGGGAACTTGATCTTGGAATCGTGGAACTGCTTCACCTGGGGCCTGCGGCAATTCGCAGCCTTCACGACCTCCACCTTGATTATCTGTATGGAGTGGGCACGCGCGCGATGACGAGCGCCCATGTCCCTGTAGCACTGCGTCACCGCCCCGCTAACGGAGAGGTCCCTGTACTCCCTGTACATATTGTGCGTGCCGGATCGAGAGTCGTACCTCAGCCAGATCCCGAAGTTCTTGATTTTCATCGGGGTCTTCTCAGGAATCTAAAAGAATCAATTATATCTCAGTTATCGGGCATACGAATAAGAACGGCAATGCGGTTGCGTTCCTTTCTGACAATACAACTGACAATTTGTTCTGTAGCTGAACTATTTACACTTTTCATTCTTCTTCCCTCCAGTGATTTTATTTTAAATGCAAGAAGTATAACATACTGTGGTTGCAAATAACATATCTAATAAGACGTAGCTTCGTGAACGATGATGAGACGAGTACCTGCTTAAGAGACACAATTTCTCCGGTGGACTTCTTGAACTTCTTCAACTGGCGCAAGAAGTACCAAAACCTGGACTTGGCCACGATAGCGTCCGGCGCGAATATCCTCATTTTGTACAACGGCGTGGTTTTCTCCTTCTCGGTAGGGAGCTTGCGCCCTATCACCTCGAATTCCTTCAGCTGGAAAGGAAAGGAAAGGCGTGACGATCATTTCATTCGAATTCATCAATAAATCTACTTCGGGCTGTGCGACCATGCGTCGGCATGGGACAGTTATAGGTTATATCGCGTCGTGGATCACGATGCAGAGCTCTATTTATCGCTTTTGCGTAATTTCTACGTGAATAATTGACGCTTGGAAAAAAGAAAGATAGCTTTTGGCGTCGACTTCGTTTATTTCTTGCGTAAAATTTATGAAAATTACTTACTTCACCCTTCGCCTTCATTGTATCGTGTGTCACGTTCAACGATAAACCGGAAAGAAACTAAGAAACTACCGCCCTCTTGCACGGCGGAAGTCTTGGTGCGGCCATCTAACTTGGCTTTTTGAACGACCAATATTTTATAAAAAAAAAAAAAAAAAAGCATAAAGAAAAATTTATTATATATATATTTATATATCTAAAATATAAAAAATATATAAAAATGTAAAAAAATACATGAAATATATATAAAATTATACATATTCTTAATTATACACAGACTTCGCCGTGTTATCAGCATTCTTTTAATATAAAATGTTTGCTAGCAAGCACATCCTTTTATTATTAATCTTATACAGAGCATAAATTCTTTTCGGCTTTCAACATTTTATTTGTGAGATTGTCAATATATATAACAATGCTACAGCCATATCTCTTACAATTGCATACATTTGACATTAATATCAGCTTGTATAGAACAAAATGTACACAAATTTAACGACTGCACTTTTATTTAATCATATTTATAGAGACTAAAATAATACATTACTTAACACTTTCGATGCTTAAACCAGCAATACTCTGGGTTGTCAAAATTAATTGAAACTATCCGATTAAAACGTACGTGTTTTACGTTGCGACTATTTCTTGTATTATGTAACAAAATTGCATAACTTCTTTTGCTATCGACTTGGTAAAATAAAACTACATATTCTCTATCGTCAGAAAGAAAACAAAGAGCATGTTTTATCTCTAATTCGCAACCCGAGATTTACGTGCGAACTAAATCGATCAGGCCGTATAACTTTTTTTTGTTACACACAATCATCAGGAAACATCGCCACAAGTGTCTAACTGCGCATAAAGCATAAGAAACATGTAGATATTACAAAGACATTTTGCGACCCTCTATAGATATATCTACTGCTCTTCTTGCCGACTTCATACGCTTGCTGTCCATATAATTCTTCATGTGCCTCTCGAATCGACTCATTTGCTTCTTGGTACTCTGCGTAGAATAACAAATCATTACAATTATAAGGAATTGTCGTTTTATATAGTTAAAGGAAAGGAAACATTAAGAAAAAGCAGCATTGAACATTAATAGCTGGGTGAAATGAGAAATCGTCATAAAAACGATCGAAAATTGGAATGTAACAAGAGCACAGGTAAATATTTCGAAAAAGTGAATTTAAAAACTTGAAAATAAACTTTTAGGAAATTTAAATGTAAAATAATTTATAATTAAGTACAATTTAGATATAAATAATCTAACATATATGTTGTAGCATTTATGGTCTCTGTGAGAGTTTCTTATTTATTTACTAACTTAAAAATTTAAAATGGAATATGTGCAAATACCTACCCTACTGATATCAACGTCTGATTTCCAGTCGGGCCGTATGACATAATCTTTGTTAGATGGCCTGGGAACTCGGGCCCTTCCCACCCATCCAGGATCGCCCGGTCTCAATGGTCTGCAAGATAGAAAAAGGTCAATGCAATAAAAGTATGATAATTATTATCACATTAATGATTATTATCAACGACCGTACTTGGAATCTCCTTTCAAGGCCTTATTAATATCTTGTGATTTTTGGGAGGATCCACCTTCCTCGATTTTTCTTCTCTTCTGAGGCGTCTGCTCCAGGTCCCTTTGCATCCTCTCCTCTTTCGAAAGCGCCTTGAAATCCGCCGATAAATTAAAAATAGGTCGGGCCCACTCGTTGATCAACTTTCCAGCGCGCTCTTTGTTCTCCTTAGTTTCTTTTGGGTGCTTATAAAGATACATCACAGCCTTCCCAATACCGGACTGCTTCAGCGAGGATTGATCAATTTTTGGAAACTATAAATGATATGATATGAATAAATAAATAAGCAATACACATTTTTTATCGAAGAAATAATGAAAGAATTTATTTCATATGATCTTACCTCCCATAACAATTTTAGAAGATTGTCTCTGATTTTAAGAGACGGTAACGAACGATCAGGCATCGGTGCTAACCAGTCAGTAAGGACTGACAGCACGTTGTGTTCCAAGAAAGCTAATTGTAAGTCATGTTTCTTAAGCTGCGACAATATTTTGGATAACATGGCAATCTTATTCGTGGCAGGCCTATTTTGTTGATTCAACCTTCTATCCTCCTCAGCTGCGGCTTTCATGTCCGATAACAATTGTGCTATGATATCGTCGTTATCATTGATGATACCAATGTCTTTTCGTTTACGCCTACGGGATTGTTCCTCTTTTTTTCGCGCTAACATGCGATCGAAATCGGACAGGTCGTCCCTGAAAATATTGAATTTAATCATTCTTATAAAGTTATTAAATTTTATTGCATTTTCATTTTTTGATTCTTCAAAATGCTGTTATAATATTATTACTTTTTAAATCTATTGTAGTTAGATATATACTTACATTCCACCACTAGTAATAATTCCATCGTCAGAATCTTCATTATCCTGTTGCTCACTGACAGCTGTTACATCTAATTGTTTATTTCCTTCATCTTCACCTTCTTTCTCTTCATGCCCCTCATCGTCCTTCTTCTTTTCGTTCTCATCTTCATGCTCGGAATCTGATAAGTCATTTTTCATTCGCTTCTTTGCTTTAGCTTCGTCAGTTTCTTCTTCGGAGTCCGATAATACTCTATTTCGTTTTCTAACTACTCCATCCGAATCTCTGCTAGGACTTCTGGATCTTCTAGATCCGGAGACGGATCTAGATCTAGATCGGGATTTCGAACGCGACGAATGCCTGGATCTGGCACTTGATCCAGATCTTGATCTCGATCTAGAATGTGATCTCGATCTCGATCTTGACCGTGAACGTGACTTCGATTTCGATTTGGATCTTGACCTGGACCTCGATCTTGATTTCGATCTCGATCCTGATCTTGACCTCGAACGTGAGACTGAACGTGATTTCGAACCAGATTTTGACCTTGAACGAGATCGCGATCTCGATCTCGATACTGACTTCCTGGATCCTGAACGAGATCTCGATCGTGAAGCTCTTGAAACAGAACGGGATCTCGATTTAGATTTACTAGATCGCGAGCTGGATCTGGATCTTGAGCGGGAGTTCTTTCTCGAGTGCGCAGGAGATACGGAACCTTTACGTGAACCTGATATGGACCTTGATTTTCCTCTAGATCCTGATTTTTGTGATCTTGATCGTGATCTTGAACGCGAGCCTTTTCTCGAACCCGATAAAGATCTAGATTTTGACTTGGACTTTGAACGTGATAAAACTCGTCCTTCTCGCAAAGGTGATATCGACAGTTTCCTAGAACCAGACCTTGATCTAGACCTTGACTTAGATTTTCTATCTGCCGAGTTGGAACGAGATCTAAAACGCGGACTTTTTTCTAAATCTGGAGAACCTTTCCTAGAACTATTCACAGAACGTGATCTTGATTGTCTTGCCATCATTGGTGATCGATTTGGAGATGCTGATGGCGAACGAGAACCTTTTTTAGACAGAGATCTTGATCTCGATCTTGAGCTAGCTTTAACTTCTTTTGGATTAACTGATTCTGATCTTGACCTAGATCTGGATCTAGACGTACGGAAAGACTTGGGAGTTCCCGATCGAGAGCGTGAATGGACTGAGGCTTTTGGAGAGCCAGAATGAGATCGAGAAAGGGATCTCGAACGAGATCGCGATTTGGAAATTGCCCGGGGCGAGGGAGATCTAGAAGACGGTTGAAAGTTTGACTTTGGCGAAGCACATTTAGATGGAGTATTGCTTGGGTTTGGGGAATTCGATCTCGATCTGGAACGTGAATTATTTCTCGATGCTGCGCGAGAACTTCTGGACGAGGAATGAGAGGAACTTGGAGATCTCGAGCCTGATTTAATAGAGCGATGCGAATGTGCCGGTGATTGTGAGCCATCTCTCGCACTCGTCCCTGTACGTTCCGGAGAACGGGATTTAGAACGTGATCTAGATACGCTTCTTTTGCCGTTCAACGGTGAAACAGATCCATTCGGCGAAGGTGATCTGGATGGCGATCTAGAATAAGACTTCCTAGAGCTCGCGTTGGAACGGACAGAAGCTGGTGATCCATTTCGCACCGGAGACGATTGATTCGACCTAAAATATATAATTCCAGTTAAAATAAAAGAATTCCAATTTAAAAAATACAGAGATAATCAAGCAAATAGATGTACTAAGTACCTAGCGGGTGAAGATTTAGGACTAGCCGAATGTGATTTTGATCTGTTTCCCGTTACATTGCTACCAGATTTTTGCGAATCTGGAGAATTGCTCCTGGATTTATCATGTTCCTCTTCCGAGTCGCTTCTTTCGTCTTGAAAAGAAAAAGAAAATAGTTTACATATAATATGACATTGTTTTTATAAAATCTCTATAATGAAGATAATATATAATTAGATAAAATGATGCACAAGCACATCGTACTTCTTATATTATTTTTCATATTATTCTTGTGATCTTTGGGTTAACATATCTGTTATACACATATATCAAAGCTTGCGTATAGCGATGCTTTTGTATCAACTTTCTTTTACGTGTATTCAGGCACTAAATAAAATGTCTTGAACGGAGCTTGGATTTCGACGAAGTAACAATATAAATAAATTATCCTTACCTTCGAAACCCATGGCATCTATTTAGATGTAGTAAAAAATGTGGCCGAAGAAAATAATGACGTCGATTGATGACTGAACACCGATCAATGGCCATAAACCATTGTTGCTTTATATTTAACAATAGTTCCAAATTGTTTACTTTTTACAAGCGACGTACCACCTCTTCTCGTACAATGGAACAGAAGTTCAGGTTTGCATGATATCACCTTCTTTCTTTTCTACACGTCACCCTTTTTCGAACAAGTTCTCATAACAAGACCGAGCGTGAAGCTAATAGTAAATACTGGCAACTATCAAAGTTTTTTAGTTGTTACACAATTCACAAATCACGCACCGAGGGATACATCAACAGCGAGGTATTCCTCTTTCCTATAATTTTCCTGAAGCTCTATGTCTGTATTGTTAACAATTAACACAACTTTGTTAACGTTAGCACTAAATTATGAAAGTCTCTCGTTTAGCGAAAACGTTTGCAAGACTTTGGACGTTATTTAGGATGAATCTACGTTCGACGAAGCAAAAGAGACACCGTGAACGATCGGCGATGTTCCTAGCCTAGAACACGCCGAAAATCGTGAGAGCGTCTCTGCCGTAGACCGCGCACTTCCGTTGGACGCGAACTACGATGTAGCGTATAATGGAGGATTCACACATGGTAGAAATACAAGGGTATGCTCTTGCGCATATTTCCGAACCCAGCCAATCAGCGACTTTTCCAACCTTACGTCACACTGAGCGGCACATTTAAGCAGCGAATCTATAATAGTCATTTATAAAAGCATTTTGAGCGGACAATATGTGAATACAAAATAATGTTGATCATTTATGTGAGAGAAAATTCTGTTTTATAAATAAATAAATATATATGAACAAAAATATATAAATATAAAAAACGCACGTGACATACGGATAAACGCTCATCGTTTCCCGAATTTGTCTCTCGTTGTAGATGTTAGAAACGTTATTGTTATTTGACGAATTTTATAATTATTTTATGTGGATTTGTCTAAATATATGATATTACAGAAAATATTATTATTATTAAGAAAAAAAGAATTGTGTGCATTGAATAAAAATCATTGCGACGTACGGAAAAATTTCACATAAAACGAGATTTTAATTTCCAGTCATTTATTATTAAAATTCTGCGAATTATTAGTTTTAATCAAAACTGGTCGGAAAACGATTGGAAAAGAATTGTCAGCTGAGACGCAAAACAAAAATATATTGTGGCGTACGACATAAAGAACTATATATGCAGAGGAAAGATGCAGATAAAAGATCAAATAACAATAAATGCAAATATTTAATATACAGGTTTTTTATTAGTAAATTTTGACATCTTTCTTCTTTTTTGCCTGTGATTTGCGATTGCAATCGCTCGGTTCATTTCGCGCAGCCTAATATATGTCCTAGTCCTAATGAGGCATAGTAATGCCTCTCTCGGTATTTTAATTTTCAATTGTGGTTCTATTATTTTTGCTAAGTTTTGAAATATAAGATTTTCTTTATTCAAACTGGATCCGTGATATTTAGCAAACTCAATATTCATTATACGAGCACATTGTAATAATTTGTCACTCGGATACATACATTTTCCTCGCGAAATAACTTGCAGCCAATCTTGGTCACCCGTTGTTTCCAATTTGGCGCGTTTCAATACCTAATGTTTTATCTGTGCTTTTAAATCTAAATGCTACGTATCCGGCTATATATTTTAAACCCTCTTCTTCGATAGCCTCGCTAATATTAAAATCTTCTAATTTCTGTAACAACTGTTCTTCCTCATAACTTGGAATAATTGCGCACGAATCCAACGCAGAAGGTTCATATGCTTCATCAAAACATATCTCTTCTTCTTCATAACTAGTTATAATAGTAACTTTTTCGTCAACATAGGACGCAAGCATATCCGTTAACACGGACTCTTCGACATCACAGCTAAGAGGAAATACAAAGATCGATTCGTTCGATTTGCTTTCTTGAACATTACATTTATCTGACAACACATTACTAGAATGTTTGCCTAATATATAACGCTTTAATCGGTACTTGAAATCTAATGGTGTTGGATGATCGTACGCACACCCCATTGAACGTATAAACGAAAAAAAATTTTCTAACAGATCTTGATTAAGACGGTAAGTTATCAAATACGTAATAGGAAAATCAGAAGTACCATATTGCTCTTGTAAGTACGGTAGCGGTTGTTGTAAAGAGGTGTTACTGAGTATAATACCTTTTTGAAAGGGCAGCAAAGTTATATGCTTTCCTATCCTAGTTTCTTTGATAAAAGTCGTCATGTTATTCAAAATTATATTCTGTTCTTCAATATTTATACCATACGCATTTTTTCTTGTATATTTACCGTACATACATTTCGAGTTAAACACATCGAATCAGTCATTACATAGTCTGATAACATACGCAGTTTCTTGCCATGATAAGTTCGAAAGGTAACCTTTATGAAAACACACACACATACATTACACGTCATTGCGTACACTGTAATAATCACAAACGAATTACTCGACATAAACAGCGAACCGAGCGAACGCAGCCATTGCGAATCACCGAGTACATCCGATTCATTCCGATGCTACACGAATATGACGTAAGTTTGTATAAAAGTGGTGGGAATGCGCAGTGGTCTGACACGGTATGAGCATACCCTTGTATTTCTACCATGGATTCACACACCATTCACACCGCGTCCGGCGACCAACGTCCAATAGTAGAGTTTGTTATCTAGAGTTTTTGACTAGCGACATTTTTGTCTCTAGACAATAGCTATTTTTATTGGATGATTGAATTGTCGGACGCCGGACGCGGCGCAAAGTATTTTTTTCGACGAGGATAGTGAAACTTGTGGAGTGAGGGGGGAAAAATCCATTGGGGTCATCTTGAACGATCAGATTTTGCGTAGGTACATACACGATATATCTGTTTCAACGTCCTGTTGGCGTGATATTAATCGAGGCATTACTGCAATTTAAAGTTATATACGTATTCCGTAATTTAAAATTGTGAAAGAGTGTGATTATAAAATAATTCGTGTAATCATATTTTGTGTAATTAATCGTCATCGTTATCTTGAATGATCAAGATTCTCCTTATTTTCTTTTATAAGTTTCAACCCCAAGCCATCTGATGTTCTTTTTTCACGAATTTCCTGCACTGGTGCACATTGGTGCATTAAGTTTGAGTTAAACAAAATAAACTTGTTTCATACTACGTTTATTTTGTAGTAACTTACGATAAGTAACTCCGCGTAAACGAGTGAATTATCGTAAGTTACTACAGAAGTAACGCGTTCGCGTAAACGTAGTAAATAGACGCGCCTCTCTATCCGTTTCGCACTCCGCGGTCGGCGGCGAAGATCGCCGATCTCGGCCGAGCCGTGCCGAGCCGCGCGCTCTGGACTCTGGAGTCGGGGTATACTATGGCGGCCGTGGCAAAATATTTGCCGTCTGCGTGCGAGAGTGAGTGATCTCGTTGCGCGTACGAGGCTCGCGAGCGAGTTCCGCGATCGGTATACGGCACGCGCGCGCGCGCGCGTTCTCACACGGCCGCCGATCCGCGAGCTGCGCCGGAGTACTCCCCCAGCCAGAGCCGGGCCGAGGGCAAACCGGGGCGCGCGGCAAACGTTTCGTGTGCGAAATTCGCTTTTCCGCTTAGGCGCACCGCGACGTCCGCGACCCGCGACGACGACAAGCCGTCAGAGCGGCCCCGGCCCCGGCCCTGGCCCCCGATGCGGGTCGCGCGCGCTCGTCTCAGGGCAAATGATGACTTCGATGCTGCCCAGCTTTAACCCGCCTATCGTCAAGCGGCTGCTGGGCTGGAAGAAGGCCGAGAGCGAGGACAAATGGAGCGAGAAGGCCGTTAAGAGCCTGGTCAAGAAGCTCAAGAAGTCCGCGGGCCTCGAGGAGCTCGAGAAGGCCATCACGACGCAGAGCTGCAACACCAAGTGCATCACTATACCTAGGTACGTTCGTATAAACACGCTTTCCGTATTCGGTATATTCGCCGAACGTGCGCTTAAATTCTCCTCGTATTTATGCGCGAGGTCGATCTGAGAGATGTGCTCGATGGGATGCACAGAAAGAGACGGAAGAAAAGAAAGAGAGAGAAAAGGACACCAGAGCCCGAACGATGCAGACGGTGAAAGAAAGAGAAAGACGGAGCGGTGGAAGAGGAGAAATCGCGCGCGAGCGCTCCCTCATATGCGCGCCGCGTGTGTGTGTGGCGCGTCGCGTCTGCTGACGCACACACGGACGAGGCGCGCGCGAGAGACGGCTTTGTGCGTGTGTATACACACATGACGTATCCTCTTTTCCTATCGCGCGCCGCGTGCATATACGCGGCTCCGTTCTTATTGAGATCTCGCCGACGACGTCTCTCGCTGCGAGCGAGCGAGCGCGCGCGCGCGCGCGCTGCGTAGCTCACCTATTCGTATGCACGCGCCGATAACGATAACGCGAGGAAACGCGGCCGATGACGGGTCACGTTTGTGAAACGGCGGCCGATCGGCGCGATACGCACGCATGCACGCACGCACCATGCATGCATGCATGCACAGGTAAACACTAGGATCCCGGAGGGGGGGAGGGGCACGTGCATGCGGGAGGCACGTGGTCGAGCCGGAGATCCTGCTTCGCGAGCGAGTTAATTGAGCCTCTCGAGAGCCAAGCCGAATCGACCTGACTTTTCGCAAGTTTCTTAACTTTGTAATTTCGGCAATTTTCTTTTTTACTTCTGACGGTTTTACAATTTTCTGTATGCAATTTCTTGTATTCGCTGTAAAATCAGTAAAATGTGATATACGGCTCGCTCCACGCGTCCTTCATTTATGCGCTAGCAGCGCAGTCTCGCTAATTATCGGTGGGCTTGGGTTTTTGCGGACGATCGTTCACGTTGTGCACGCTCGTCGTATTTGTAATCGAGGCGAGGATTCCTCTCTCGCCGGGTCGCGACGGTGACGCAAGTGTGATCGCTTTAGCACGCATTCAATGGAACTCCAAATGCGAGCTATCGGCTGTCATCGGGGTTGGGCGTTTACGCATGAAATATATTTTACACATACATGTGTGCAACATAAATTACGTTTGACGCGTCATGTCAAACATTGCGAACAATGAGTAATCTATGAATCAGCATTCATATTTCGTCTGAAATATCGGAAATTTTATGTTTTGTTAGCAATTTTATTTTTAGTTACTGTTATTCAGTTTGGGCACAACTTTTGGGACGCTATGGAAAATTAACAATGTGGTTTTGAAGATCTTAATTTTATACCTATGAAAAGAAAATTGATATTGCGCGTATTGCAATCGTGAAAAAGAATACTGCTTTTTGTCATTTACCAGCTCAACGTAAATAATAATGTTCCTGTATTATCATATGTCTTTTATGTCACTGTAGTTAGTAAAGAAATTATAACTGAAATGCATCTATATTAATTTAGTTTAAAACTACTTTTTATTTTTCTAAGACTTTGCAAAAATACAGTTTAAAGAAATCATTTAATCGTTCAACTTACAGTAATTCACATTGGTTATATTGTCTACGTGAAAAAGGTTCGTGTAAACGTAAAATGTAAACAATTCGTAAACAATCCATATAAACGTAAACTCGTCGATCGCTCACAAAATGCATGATCGCGCGCGCGAAGAAGCGCGAAAGCGTGCAAAACGTCGCCGGTAAGCTCGAAAACGCGAAACACGCCCGTATGATCCTTGACCTATGACAAACGGTTCTCGGATTTCCCCCGATCGTATACCTGTCCGGATGATAATGCGCCCGATCGATCACGAGAAACGATTTATATCTCGTTTCGAGCGAGGAGAAGAACCGTATTGATGTAACTCGATAAAAGACTCGAGTCATATGCCTTCGCTTTGATCTCGCCTTGATAGAATCAATTGCGGCCATAAAATAGACGCGACGCCCGAAGACATTTTCTAATTAAACTATCGCGGATGTGTACACATCCGTGCATATGCGTATACGCGATATAACGGGACATGCGTTGATTCCACGAGTCTCGCGCCTGAAAATCTTCCTTCTTACTTTATTATTTTATTTTTATGTAAGTTGCGTAAGCGTACGCATCGGCGATCGTCCGCGATAAGCTTTACTTGATGCGAAACGTCTCCCGCGTTCGCAGAAATTAGAAATAGCGAGAAAACGATGTTCCTTCGCTTAGCTCTCCGTCTGATCGAATTCTCACTGAGGAAAGATCAACCTCTTTTCCGAAGAATCATTTGCAAAGTTTGTTTCTACGAAATCAGGAATCAGAATCCCATTAGCACATTGACTGCCACGTCATACAAAACAAAAGACACTCCTCGTTCCAAGTCGAGAGCGCCTCGTCATTCAAATACAAACGATATCAAATTTCCGTTGTGTTTTATGACAAATAAGTGAATTATGAGAGAAAACGCGCGT